CCTCCCTGGGGAGGGAGCACGAGAGAATGTGTGTGACCTCTGGGCACTGGGCACCTGCTGGTTTTGCCCACCCTGCCTGCTCCCACTGGTGGCTTGCCCATCTCCTATGAGGTTCAGGGTCAGAGCCGAGCCCAGCCCCTCCCCACAGGACCAGCCAGCCTCTGGTCCACAGATTCCCACGATAGCTCAGTCACCATGGCAACAGCAACAGGCGTTCACGGTGCTGGGAGCAGGAGGATGCCTCTCTCCTGGAATGCCACCCCAGAGTCAGAATCTAATTTTCGTCACAGCCATAAAAGCGGTTTTGCATAATTGTACATATATTAATACCGAACACGCCAGTGTCTATTTGGTTAAAATTCATGAATTCAGGTTTAAATAAAAAGTGCTGGTGGCTCAAGTTTTTCATTTCCTTTAAATGTTCCTGGGTGTGTGTGTGTATGTGTGTTTTAAAGTCGGTCACTCCCATTGGCAGCAACTTGCTTTTAATCCCATTATTAATGGGTGAGGGAGACCAAACAAAGGAGGTGGCACCTCAGGGGCAGTGGCTGCAGCGGGAGAGCTGGGTGCTCACTCCCCCACCCTGGGAGGGCGGCGTGGGCACCCGTCATCCCAGCACCTCCTTCCTGTGTGGCCTGCGAGCACAGTGCCCCCTCTCTGGGCCTCTGTGTCCTCGCGCAGATAAAGCGGGGAGAGAGGCTCCATCGATCTTGAAAATCCACCCCTTTGGCTTCCAAAACAAAGACCCATCACTGACTCGTGTGGAGGCTCAGCCCTGCACTAGGCCCTGGGCTGGGACGAGGGCCCTGGGGCTCCAGGACTCTCAGTCAGGAGACAGACAAAGCCATGGGGAGCTGGGAAGGCTGCCCGGAGGAAGGGACCATGAAACATTCGCCAGGGGGACGGGAGAAAGGGAGCAGGGGAGGCTAGCGTGGGCCTGGGGTACAGGCCTCGGGGGCCATGGAGGTACTCACACGGGGCTGGGACAGAGAGGGTGAACTGGGTGCCCAGACACAGGGAGGGGGCTGCAAGCTCTGGGCCCCCGAGGCCAGGCCGGGCCGTCAGAGCATGGCTGATGCCACCGGCTTGGCCTGACCGTCAGGAGAAAAGCTCTCGTTCTCGTGGGGACTGGTGGGCAGGCCTGAAGCCGGAGCTGCCGCTGGCACAGGAGAGGAGGGAAGCCAGCACAGGAGGGAGCAGAGCTAAGAGGCGGGGAAAGGCTGTGCCCTGAGTGTGGGAAAGGGGAGCCCTTACCCACCTGGACCTGAAGCCAGACCACCTCGGGGCTCTTAGCTACCAAGTCACGGCCTTGTTTCTTTCCTCCCTCCCTTCCTTTTCTTGCTTTGCCCCTTTCTTTTATTCTTCTTCTTTTTTTTTTTAATATATTTTGATTTTTTACAGAGAGCAAGGGAGAGAGAGTTAGAAATATCGATCAGCTGCCTCCTGCACACTCCCTACTGGGGATGTGCCCCCAACCAAGGTACATGCCCTTGACCGGAATCCAACCTGGGACCCTTCAGTCCGCAGGCTGACGCTCTATCCACTGAGCCAAACCAGTTAGGGCCCCTTTCTTTTATTCTTAAACTCCTTTGAGTTGGGTTTTTTGTTTTTTTTTTAATTTTATCTTTTTTTTTTTTTTTGTCATTTGCAGCCGAGAGAGTCCTGACAATATCCATAATACGAATTCAGGAAGCAGTGCCAAATATAGGAGGCCATGATTCCCGTGTGACCCCTCACCCAAGTCCAACATCTTAGCGACCGAACCAGCGCGTGAGAGCTGGGCCCTGCCTCCTCCCTGGCCCCGCAGACCCTGACCCATCCCCCGGCCCTGAGAGGTCCCCGCCACAGGGCCCTTCCCCAGGTCCCAGACCCCCCAGGCCCCAGCCTGGGCTCGATGGGGGACCCCACCTCACACACACACACACACACACACACACACACACACACACACACGAGCTCAACACCCACCTGCCGAGAGAGCAGCACGGACGCAGAGGCATTCTGAAATAGGCTTCTGGGTTTTATTCAGAACGACGCTGGCAGCAGCTGCCGCGCGGTTTCTCTGTGCCCAGACCGTGGGCCAGCGGGACCAGCGCCCTCAGCAGCTAGGGGAGAGGGTCGTTCACACCATAGAAACTGTACAGCGACTGGGAGCGCAGTGGTCACAGCAGCGGAGCCAGGCTGAGGGCTTCCCGGAGGAGGAGGAGGAGGAGGCCTCGCCTCCCCCTTGGGCCCCAGCTTCCCCCCCCCCCCCCCCCCCCCCGCCCCGGCCCCGCCGGAAACACTGACTATTATTGCACAAAGACAGAAAGAGTATGTGTAGCGGCTTCTAAGACCCCAAGCCCTTACACAATGCAGCAAAGGGGACCCCGGACGCAGGGCTCCAGGGAGAGGACCCGAAGGGGAGACGGCAGACAGACGGGCACTGTGCACACGGCGTCCTTTGGGTGCCCGAGGGCGGGCGGCGGGCAGAGGCTTAGACGGGGCTGGGCCACCCCCCTGGCTGGTCGTGGGTTCCCTCTGCGCGGACACCAGGTGCCTGCCAGCCCCCACCCTGCAGAGCCCCGCACACAGACAGCATGGGGAGCGCCACCCCGTGCCCCCCTCGCCCAGGACCAGGCCTGTGGGGTGAGGGTAAGTTTGTGCTTTTGTGACGGAGGGGCTGTAGGATCAAGAAGGGCCCGGGGGCCATCGCCTAACCCTCCCCGCTGCAGCCAGTGCTGGCCGGACAATCACAGCGCTGCCCCCAGGCCGGGAACCAGACCCGCTCCCGGCTCCCGGGGCGAAGCATCTGTCTCTCCTCTCGGCTCAGCAGGTCCCACCCTGGCACACGCTCTGCTCTCCGGTGCCACTTCCCTGTGTGTGCGCTCTGCTCCGGGCCACGTGCCTGTTAAATGGGGTGACCAGTGTCCACGCGGTCCCCTGGAGCCCAAGCCAAGTCAGCCGTGACTTAACCCACTGCCCCTCCGCCAGGCTCCGGCGCGCTAAGCAATGCGTGTGCTGCCGCCTCTGACCTCGACTGCTGGGAGCGCCCCTCCTCCCCTCCTGCCCCCTCCCCCTCAGTGTGGGTGGGGAGGGCGCCCAGAGCCAGACAGGCCTGCCTGCCCCTCTCCTGCCCTCGAATGAACAGGTCAGCACAGCAGGGGAGGCGGCCCGGGAGCTCTGGAGCAGCGGCTTGGATCTGTGCCCGGCTCCCCCCCCTGCAGGGATGGGCCACCCCGGGGCTGGGCAAGACCAGGAGGGAGAGCCCGGCCCGGCTAAGCCCTCACCCTGGAGGCTGCTGCCCCGCACCTCACCGCGGCCTACCGTCCACACAGTGGGGTGAGGAGAGAGCGCAGCAGGGCCCAATCCAGGTCTGCCTGCCTTGCCGCCCGGCTCCACGGCGCTGACAGAGGCCCCGCCGGCTCTGCCTTCCCTTCCCGCCCTCTCTGAACTCAGGCCAGTTCTTCACATTCCAGGTACTTTGGTGCTGGCCCTGGGGTGCCCCAGCCTCTTTGCTGCCAGGGCCCCGAGGGGTTCTGAGTCGGCCCCTCAGCCTCTCCAGGCCTCAGTTTCCTCACCTGCAGAGTGGGCCTAGCCACCTTCCCCACCCCCACCATGAACTACTAGGGGAAGGGCTTTGCAGGCCCCTGAGCTTACGCCACTCATTACCTCCTTTCTTTGCTACAGTGCCCCCGGCACTGGGGTCCCTGAGCTAGTCTGGGAGACACCCGGGGCCCGTCCGAGCAGCTACCCCCCTAAACACCACCTGCCAGCCCGGCCTGAGCCACGTTCTTCAAGGTCCGGGTTTAGGACAGGACAGGCCCCCAGGCAGGGCCCAGCCACACCATCTGAGATTTCAGAAGGAAGAGGCCTGGTTATTGCTGAAATGCAGCGTGTCCCACCCCGAAGGCCACCACCTTCCCCATCTTCCTTAGACTGGCCGGTCTGTCCACTCACTTTCAAAAGCTTAGCCTGGACCTAAGCTATATGTCTGTGAATTCCAGGGCTCAGTTACTGCTGACTTCCTAATAAGTACTGAAATAAATGCATTCAAATGCCCATCTACAAACCTCGCCAGAAGCGTTGCTGTAGTGAAACCAGCTCTGCAGCTTTGGGAAGGTGGGAAAATGGAATAGGTGTGTGTGGGTTGGCTCCAGGTGACAGGTGTGAAGAGGGGGTGGTCCCAGGGCCCAGGCAGGTGCCCACGCCTGCTCCCACCGGGAGGGTAAAAGGCCACGGCCAGCACAGGCCAGGGGCACCCTTGACCTTGCCAGCATCTCAGGGGCTGTCCTGTCTCCTGCTGCCTCCACACCTGCCCTCGGCTTCCCGGGGGGCAAAGCCATAGCAGACCCTCACCCAGGAAGTGCCCGCTGGGGCAGGGGCCTCACCCGGGTCAGGGCCCCCTGTGCCAGCCTGGGAGTTGCTTGCCACCCCCACCCCAGCCCTAAGGAAACACAACGGTCACCCCTGATTTTTCTAAAGAAACACATCTAACTGGTTTACTACGTGTCTGCGGACTCCGGGTGGGTACCTACAAGACTGTTGACACAACTAGACAGTCAGGAACAACAAGACAGAGACACCCCACTACGGGGGAGGGGGCGGGGGCGGGGTCTTAGCAGCATTTCTTCTTGAAAGAAAAGAAAAAAAAAAAACGCACCCTGAATGACACTGCTTTTTTTTTCTGAGCCTGTCTCCCGGGCTGTGGGGCCCTCAGAGGCCTGAGCGCCCTCTCCACGCTACTCCAAACCCTGGGGAGACACCAAAGAGTAGGGGTGCTGGTGCCCAGCAGGACCGTCGGCCCAGGGCGGGTCCGGCCTGAGTCCGAAGCACCAGGCCAAAAGCTCTGTCTGGGCCCCAGCCCGCACGTTAGCACTTTCTGGAAGTCATATGCTCTCGGTAAAAAAAATAAATATATATATATATGTCTGTCTCTCTATATATGTGCATATATATATATACAGGTATCTGCACGGGGAGGACCGCCAGCCGGCCGAGGGCGGGCCCTGCCTGGCCGCAGCCCACCCAGACTGGCTCCGGGGCGCCGGGTGGCCGGACACTGGGGGCCCCCTGCGGACGGAGTCCAGGCTGGGACCAGTACCGCTGTCTGCCCCTGGCCCCTGAGGTAACCGGTGAGACGGAGGGCTGGGCCCCGCGGCCCTCATCTCTTCCTCTTGCTGGCGGCGTCGGCGGGCTGCAGCTCCCCGGGGGGCCGGGCGGGGCCCCGGGGGTCCTTGCCGTGATCGGCGGCCCAGGAGGGGCTCCGGGCCAGGCCGCCGAGGGGCCCGGGGCCGCGGGGGCGGCCGGTGGGGCCGGCGGCCAGGCTGCTGGTGCTGCTGAACCTCCTGGCGGGCGGCAGCCCCGAGGGCGCGGGCGGCGGGCAGAAGAGCGAGGTGAGCGAGAGGCTGCTGAGCGTCTCCGAGTGCTCGCTGCCCCCGCCCCCGCCGCCCGCGCCCCGGCCCCCCGCGCCCTCCTCGTCCGAGGGGTCCATGGAGTCGTGGTGCGTGCAGCCCGGGCTGGTGGAGCCGCCGCTGCTGTGGCTGCGCTGGTGCAACCCCAGCCCGCGCCGGCCGGCCGGGCCGCGGCCCCGCAGGCTCCCGCGGCCGGAGGCGGGGGACAGGCCGGCCCGCGGGCCCGGGGCGGGGGCGGGCGGCCCCAGGGCGCGCCGGGGGCTGTCGCTCAGCGTCAGGCTGTCCTCCAGCGTGGTCTGCAGGCTGCCCGCCGAGCTGCTGCGGCTGGCCTCCAGCGACGTGTCGCTCCCGGTGGCCTGCGGGAGACGCAGGGGGTGGGGAACCGGCCGGTGTGCCCCCACCCTGCTCCTCCCTCACCTGCTCCTCCAGGCAGGAAGTGCCTTCCCACCCCGCACACCCAGCACCCCCTGCTGCTCCCCTCCCAGCCACTGCCCCCTGGAGCTTCTAGGTGGCTCTCCCCACCCGCTCTCTGGGCCCCAGAGGCTGCCCCATGGCCTGCCTGCTCAGACCCGGTCAGTCTCTGGCCTGAGGGTCCTGCCCGCCCCCCACCCCCCACTCCACTCACGTGCTGCCTGGAAAGCCCATCCAGAGACCCCCGTGCTCCCATCTCCCCACACCCCCCCTTGTGCTCCACCCCTCCACCCCCGCACCCTTGTGCCCCCACCTCAGGGCCCTCCCAGACCCCCACCTGACTCCCAGCCCCTGCTCCCACCACAGACCCCTCTCCTGTGCAACGTCCTCCTCAGTGTGTGTCGCTACCAAACAGACTACAGACGCTTTATCTACTGATCACGGCATTCCGTCTCCTCCCGCCCCTCCCGGCACACACACTGAGCCCCATGTGGGCCCGGGCAGGGACATGCACCGTGGAGCCGCCTCGCCGGCTCCTGAGGGAGCCGATGCCTGGAGGAGCCCCGGACCCAGCCCCGCCTCCACCACACTGCGAGCCCTGGGGGGGCCGCCTTACCTGCCGGAGGAGGGTGCAGTTGACGCTGGGTGACCGCAGGGACGCCCAGGAGCCCTGCAGGGCGATCTTGGGGAGGGCCCCGGCCCCAGCGCCCCTCTCCGGCCCCTTCTGGCCGGAGGACACGGCGGGATGGAAGAACTCGGAGGGCATGGGCAGCAGCGGGCTGGCGGCCTCCGGGGAGAAGGGGCTGGAAGGTGCCGCTGGGGAGGGAGGAGAGGGAGCTGGGGGGCCGGCTCAGGCTGGCGGGCCCCTGAGGGTGTGCGGCTCTGGGCCAATCTCCCTCTCTGAGCCTCAGTGTCCCCACAGTAAGCCTGCCCGTGTGCCTCCTGGGAGGACAGGCACAGGCACGGGCACAGGCACGGGGCCCAGTGGACTCGGCACAAGGACCCTGGATCCTGCCTGAGGGGTGGAGAGGAGGTTGTAAGATCAGAGGCAGCCCAGTCCCAGGGGCACAGCAGAGGTTCTGAGCGCCACCCCCAGGCCCGGCTGGACCCTCTGGGACAGCAGCAGGTGGGCACGGCACTGCACGGGCTGAGCAGACAGAAGCTGCTGGGCCCGCCTGGGCCGCTCCCCTGGAGCTGGAGAGGGGCCAGGCGGGGGGGCGGGAGCATGCGGGCGGGGCGGCGGGGCTGGCAGTGGCCTCTGCCCACAGCCCCCTCCGCCAGTGCCTTCTCGGGCGAGGGGGGTGGGGGTGTGAATGAACTGGGGAGTATGTAACCACGGTGGCCGGGCAGCTTGCACATCCCAGGTGCAGGGACTTCTACGCCATCTTATTATTGAAGGGAAAGACAGGCGAAGGGGTAACTAAAGGGAAGTGAGAATGGCCCTCGGGCACTGTGCCCTGGCTTGTGGTTCAGGAAGTCTGGGGTCTCAGCACCCACGCCGCCACGCCCAGCCCAGAAGCCACTGGTTTTAGGGTGAGACCTCGGGGAAAGCCACTGCTCCCCCAGCTCCTGGGAGACGCTCAGTGCCAGGCCTCCCGGAAGAGCGCTGAGGTGAGCTCGGGGTCTTAGGGGCCCCTCTTCTGCTGGGCGGGTCTCTCTGACCCCCTCCTCATCCCCCGCCGGGAGCCCAGGCTCCTGTCCCCCTCCGAGAGGACTCGAGGTGACAGTGGGCCCCCGTGAGGGACAGGCCAGCTCAGGGCTCTGTCCCGGTGCCCACAGCTGAGCCCGGAGCCCGCAGCACAAACACGGGATGCCAAGGGCAGGGCCGGTGGGTCCATGTCAGGACCTTTGACAAAAGTGCTGCCTCCCGCAGGGGCCTCAGCCAGGAACCGAACCCACAACCTCGCTAGGCACGTGCCCTGACCGGGATCGAACCCGCAACCTTTTGGCGTATGGGGTGACAACACTCCAAGCAACTGAGCCACCTGGCCGGGTCCTGGGTATAATTTCTAACTCATCTCTAAGTAGCAGTTGACCCTCGATCTTTTACTGTTGTCGTATCAGACCTGGGGTTCCTAGCTTTGATGGCCAGTTATTTATCTAGTTCTCTCTCGACTCTATAGAATAGCCTGGGGAGGGGGGGGGGGGACTGAGGGAGGAACTCAGCCAGCTGCCTCGGAGGTGGCCACTGAGACCAGGGCTGCAGGGAGCTGGTGCGGGCCGACCCGTCCCTCACCTTGGCCGCCCTCGTGCTTCAGCCAGGAGCGGACGGGGCCGAAGGGGACGGCCTCCATCTCGCACAGGAGGCTCTCCGGGCCCGCGGAGACGGCCGTGTTGGACAAGGGGAAGAAGCACTCGCCCAGGTCCCCCACGCGGATGGGCTCGGCCGGGTCCGGCTCGCCCTGCGGGGAACGGAGGCAGAGGGTCAGGACGGAGGCAGACGGTTAGGAGGGAGGCAGACGGTCAGGAGGGAGGCAGACGGGTTAGGACGGAGGCAGACGGGTTAGGACGGAGGCAGACGGGTTAGGACGGAGGCAGACGGGTCAGGACGGAGGCAGACGGTTAGGAGGAAGGCAGACCGTTAGGACGGAGGCAGATGGTTAGGACGGAGGCAGACGGGTTAGGAGGGAGGCAGAGGAGTTAGGAGGGAGGCAGAGGGGTTAGGACGGAGGCAGACCGTTAGGACGGAGGCAGATGGTTAGGACGGAGGCAGACGGGTCAGGACGGAGGCAGAGGGTCAGGACAGAGGCAGACAGTTAGGACGGAGGCAGATGGTTAGGAGGGAGGCAGAGGGGTTAGGACGGAGGCAGACGATTAGGACGGAGGCAGACGGTGAGGACGGAGGCAGAGGGTCAGGATGGAGGCAGAGGGGTTAGGAGGGAGGCAGACCCTTAGGACGGAGGCAGACGGTGAGGACGGAGGCAGACGGTGAGGACGGAGGCAGAGGGGTTAGGACGGAGGCAGACGGTTAGGATGGAGGCAGACGGTTAGGAGGGAGGCAGACGGTCAGGACAGAGGCAGAGGGTCAGGACAGAGGCAGACAGGACGGAGGCAGACGGTTAGGATGGAGGCAGATCATTAAGACGGAGGCAGACGGGTCAGGACGGAGGCAGATGGTGAGGACGGAGGCAGAGGGGTTAGGACGGAGCAGACGGTGAGGACGGAGGCAGACGATTAGGACGGAGGCAGACGGTGAGGACGGAGGCAGATGGTGAGGACGGAGGCAGAGGGGTTAGGAGGACGGTGGAGGAGGAGCTGGGCCAGGCCCACGGCACTGCCTTCCTGCCTCAGCCGCGGTGCTCTGCCGGGACCGCTCCCCATGCCTGGTACGGCCTTCTCCGCCCCCTGTCCACCCGGCCGGCCATCCGCACCTTCCAAACCCAGGGGGAAGGGCCCCACCTTTAGGAAGCCTCTCTGATGTCCCAGGCAGGTCACGGCTCGCTCCCCTCCTGACACTGAGGTCCCTAAGGGCAGCCGAGGGTCCCCGGATGCTGTGCGGGGGGCCCTGGCTGAACTTAGCTGCTGTGTGACTTCAGGTGAATCTCTCCACCTCTCTGAGCCCCGCCGCCCTCCTCTGACCAACAAGAGCTGAGAGCCTGGTGCACAAAAGCTGCCCAGGAGCCCACAGGGCTGCTCACCTTGCTGTCCGTAGGGCGGAGCGGGCAGGCTGGGGGGTCCTCGAGACTCAGGTCATCGCCCAGCAGGATGGACAAGGACTTGTCTGAGTTCAGGGAGAAGGCTTCCGTCTCGGCCAGCTGCACCTGCACGGAGAGGTGGCGGCCTCGGGTCACCCATGGGGCGGGGACTGGCATGGCCAGTCCCCCAGAGGGACACAGGATGGTGGTCAGAGAGGCGCAGAGGTCTGGTGAGCATGGATGGCATGCCAACCCAGGGATGGGGAAGGGGATGGCGATGGGGGCGGGGGTGGGAGACACAGTGGCATCACATTCAGTGAAGTGCCAGGCCCGGGCAGGGCCCAGGACGGGGGACTTGCCCGGAGCTGGGAGCTCCTAAGCTGGCCCACTGGCTGGCCCCAGACCAAGTGGCCCTGGAGGCTGGCCAGCGTGCGTCAGGGCAGGGTCCGTGCAGAGCTGCGCTCTCACCTCCTGCCTGTCGTGGCAGCCCCGGCAGCCGGCCGGGGAGGCGTAGTGGTGGAAGACGGACCCCGACAGGTTGTCGATGATGGTCAGCTCCCCCTCCACCGAGTCCTTGATGATTAAAGAGACGCTGTCCAGCCACAGGTTCTCCTAGGCGGACAGGGCGGGTGGGGACGGCGGGATTATCACGGGTGGAGCCTGCGGGGGGCGGGGCACAGCTGCCCTGGTCCCTCTGCGCCTGTGACACCTGAGGCCTGGACCCGGCCCCTCGTCACGGGGTCCCTCAGAGCGGAGCAGGGGGGCCCCAAAGGACGGGAGTCCCTGCCCACCTGGGCCGGAGAGTAGCAGTGCGGGCACAGGGGGCCCTCGGGGTCTCCCCCTCCGCCGGGCGGCCGCGGGCCGGGCCCCAGGCCTTGGGCCATCTCCAGCTCCAGCTCGGCGTCCATCTCGGCGTCCTCCTGGGCCTCCTTGTTGCTGTCGTCCAGGTGCTTCATGAGCACGGCCACCACCACGTTGATGAGCACGAACTGGGCGGTGAGCACGAAGCTGACGAAGTAGAGCGGCGACACGAACTGCAGGCTGCTCAGGCAGCTGCGCTCGTCGTGCGTGCAGTCCCGCAGCGTGTCCTGCGGGCGGGCGGGCGGGCGGCGGCCGTGAGGACCGGGGTCGCGGCTCAGCCCTCCCCTCTGTCTCCCGGAGCCCGCCCCGCCCACCCTGGGCCAGAGCCGGGGCCTCCGTGGGGTGACGGGCAGGGCAGGGAACGCCAGGGCCCGGCATACGGTGGAGCGGTGACCGTGGCCCCTGCCCCGGGCTCTGGGCCCCCGGTCCCCTCTGGCCCTCGGGGAGTCATGTCCCCTAGCATGTGAGCCCGGACCTGCACCTCCCTGTGCTTCTGGGCCCCAGGCAGGTCCCTGGCTGCTTGGGGCCTCGCCCTCACCCCCTCCCGAGAACGATGGGCGCTGGGCAGGCAGAGGGCCGGGAGGCCTGGCCGCCGGGACTGCCAGCAGCACCCTGGCTCTCGCACATGGCCCAGTCTGCCCCAGTACCTTCATGATGCCGTTCCAGTTGTCGCCAGTGGAGACCTGGAAGAGCGTGAGGAAGGCCATGCCGAAGTTCTCGAAGGTGGCGTGCCGGCTCATGCCCTCGCACGGGTTGTCCTCGTTGCAGACTGAAAGGAGAGGCGGTCAGCCGGCCCGCTGCAGAGCCTGCCAGCCTCCCCTCGGAATCCCCACTACAGCCCTGGGGCAGGGGGGTGCCCCTTGCCCTGCCCACATGGGGAGACCAGGGCTCAGGGAGGCGGCACCCAGGCTGGGCTCAGGCTCGGGTGAGCCTGGCTCCTCCCCCATCCCAAGTATCAGTGCCAGAGGGAGAGGATGGGGTGGGCCGGCCCCCGTGGGAGCCCTGCTTTCTGGAGCTGGCCCTGTGTGGCCCTGGCCCGGGATGGGCACTGGCCAGTGGGCTCGGAGGGGACAGCCCCCAAGGTCAGACAGCTTGGGGCTCAGATGGGCACCTGCAGCATAGGCCTGGGGTGTGCAGGAGGCCCCGGACTGGCTCTCCCCAAAGCTCCTCCTCACACGGGAAGGGGTGGGTGTGGATGGCGGAGGGCCTCCGATCCCCCCCCCCCCATGGCCTGCTGTTGGGGCTTCTCCCCAATACAAGACCCTGACGTGCCCGGCTGGCGTGGCTCGGGGGTTGAGTGTTGACCTGTCAACCAGGAGGTCATGGTTCGATTCCTGCTCAGGGCACAAGCTCAGGTTGCAGGCTCAACCCCCAGTGTGGGACGCGCAGGAGGCAGCCGATCCATGACTCTCTCTCATCACTGATGGTTCTCTCTCTCTCACCCTCTCCCTTCTCTATGAAATCAATAAAAATATGTATTTTTTAAAAGACTCTGATGTGACAGTCTCAGGGGCCTCTCAGGCCTCCCCCCAAAGGCCCTCCTCCCCCCTCCCAGGCTGCCCCGCTCACCCAGCTTCCCGAAGAGCTCCACGCCCAGGGCGGCGTAGATGAAGAAGAGCAGCATGAAGAGGAGGCCCAGGTTGCCCACCTGTGGAGACGGCAGGTGGGCTGGACTGGGCCCTGGTGCGGGGCGGGCGCGGGGGGCCGGCGGGGGCGTGGGGGGTTGGTGAGGGTCAGAGGAGGCTGCAAGGCCTGGGAAGGGTTGGGGTGCGGGCCAGCAGGCCCCAGTTAAAGGGCCAGTCTGAGGGTCAGGGCTCTGTGTCCATGGCTGCCACCCCACAGGACCTCCCGGAGGGCAGGCGCCCAGTGCAGGGCACAGACAATGATGATAAAATGCTTGGGCAGCCTCACTGTCAGCAGCCGGATCCAAGCATTTCATATTCATTAGTCCCCGCATCCACCCGCCTGTCCATAAACTCTCTTTTACCCCCATCCTTCAGGTTGAGAAAGAAACAAGCCGAGAGGCGGAATACCTTGCCCAGGGTCACGTCACTAACACAGAGTGGGCTGGAGATGCAAAGCCAGCCCCCGGGGCCCCAGGGTCCATGAACACAATGGCTACTCCCATATACCTGTGTGTGGGGCTAGGGCCATCCCCTGGGCGAATACAGAGAGGAGGAGAAGGGTGTCTCAGCAACAACACCTCCTCCTCCAGGAAGCCTGCCTGGATTTCCTGGGGTGCAGTCTAACAGTGTGAGTGTAACTGGTGTGTCCCTGCCACGGTCTGCCCCCCCGCTCCGGAAAGCTCCTGAGAGCAGGAACATGGCCACGGAGAGGAGTGGGCTTGGGAATCCTGCAGAGCGGTGGGCCCCAGGCGCATCCTGCATGCCCAGCCAGCCCTGTCCCACGGCTCCTGTGGGAGGAACGTGTCCCAGATTCCAAACCTGCTTCAGATCTGCCTGTGTGCTAGCGACCGCTTTTAACTACGGATAAGATGAGGCTCCTGCCTTAAGAATGAACTGACTCCCAGGCCCCTCCGAAGGCCTGCAGGAATAAGTCTGGAGACGTTTGCATTAATTGCTGAAAAGGAAACCGCGTTCATCACGGCCTCCTAATGCTTCTTTGCTCCAGAGGAGGGTTCCCTCCCGCGCTGCTCCACAATCGCCCCAACAGCGTCTGACTAATTAAGCGGCGCTCATTCATTAACCGAACGAGCACCCAGTGAGCACCTGGGAGGCAGCGTGCGCGGCCCTGGCAGCGGGGAGGGTGCGGGAGTGGCCGGGGCCCTGGGCTCAGCTCCCCGCCTCACCCTCTGTCAGTCCTCCCCTCCTCCCTCAGCATCTCCCAGAGCTTGTATGGCTGCAGCTGCCTCTGCACCCGCCTCCCTGCCTCCAGCCTCTCCCTCCATTCCATCTTACTCGGAGTCGCCAGAGCAACCTTCTAAAAGGGTAAGGCCATGCCTGGCCAGTGTGGCTCAGTGGTAGAGTGTCAGCCTATGAACCAGGAGGTCACGGTTCGATTCCCGATCAGGGCACGTGCCCCGCGCAGGGCGGGGGGGGGGGGGGGGGGGGGGGGGGGGGGGGCGAGTGAAGGAGGCACCTGATCGATGATTCGCTGTCATCATTGATGTTTCTCTACTTCTCCCCCTCCTCTCTGAAAGCCATAAAAAATATATATTATAAAAAAAAAAAATAGCGGAGACCGGTTTGGCTCAATGGATAGAGCGTCGGCTTGGGGACTGAAAGGTCCCGGGTTCGATTCCGGTCAAGGGCATGTACCTTGGTTGCAGGCATATCCCCAGTAGGGGGTGTGCAAGAGGCGGCTGATCGATGACTCTCTCTCATCGATGTTTCTAGTTCTCTAGCTCTCTCCCTTCCTCTCTGTACAAAATCAATAAAATATATTTAAAAAAATAATAAAAATAAAATAAAATAAAATAAAAAAATAGCCCTGTCTGGTTTGGCTCAGTGGATAGAGCATCAGCCTGATCAGCCTGGGGACTGAAAGGTCCCGGGTTCGATTCTGGTCAAGGGCATGTACCTTGGTTGCGGGCACATCCCCAGCAGGAGGCAGCTGATCGATGTTTCTCTCTCATTGATGTTTCTAACTCTCAATCCCTCTCCCTTCCTCTCTGTAAAAAATCAATAAAAAAAATTTTTTTTTAATAAAATAGGGGAGGGGAGGGAGGTATGGGGGAGATAAGAGATCAACCAAAGGACTTGTATGCATGCATAAAAGCATAACCAATGGATGCAAAACTCTGGGGAGGGAGGGCATGTATGGGGGTGGGGGGCAATGGTAAGATATGTACACATATAATACCTTAATTTTAAAATGAAAAAAATATATAAAATATATAAAAATAAACAAAAGGGCGAGACTTCCCTCGTCTAGAACCTCCTGTGGTACCCACTGCCCGAGTTTGCTGTCCTGGCATCCAAGGCCCTGCAGACGCCCTCCCAGCCTGACCATCCGCGGGAGACAGACCCGCCTGCACATTCTGTTCCTGCTGCAGGAGTGACCCTCTCTCTGTCGGAGACTGGCAAATGCTTCCTCCCCGCCCCTCAGAGCCCAGCTCACCAGTCACCTCCCCTGAGGAGCCTTCCCTGATGCCTCTTTCCCCTGCGCAGGAGGAAAGGGGCTAAAGTTTAATTCCTACAGCACTTTGCAGAGAACCGAGGCAATGTCCAGGGCCAGCTCACAGATCTGAAGGGTGAGCCGGTGGCCATGCCACGTGGTAGCTGGCACTTGCGTCTCTTAAAGTGCTGATATGACTGTAATTACTATTGAGCCAGGGACCACCTGGGCACCTTCCTGTGCCCTGCGCCAACTCAGGGTTGGTCTGGGGAAGCACCCAAGGTTACCCAGGGGTCAGAAAAGGGGGGAGGGGGAGGGAAGAAGGCCAGTCTAGCTGGGGGCACACACCACCCCTCCCCATTCCTAGCAGACTCTCGTACAGCATGTCTTAGGACCCTGGCCCCATTCCTTTCCCGTTGGCAAGGACACCAAGGCAGGAGACGTTGAGTCGCATGCCCAGGGCTTCACAGGGGACGAAGCTTTGATCTCAGGCGGGGTGATGAGTCTGGACTCCACCCACTTCCCGCCCACCCGCACACCCCGCAAGCCCAGCATGCACCCCGTCTTCCATGTGGCAAGTCTTTGGAAGAGGTTCAGTGTTGGGGAAACACACACATCTCTTTGCGCGAATGCCCCTGCTTTCAACCCAGACCTGGCGAGAGTCGTGCTGCTTTCCCTTTGCAACTGGGCCGCTGGGAAGCTCAGACCAAACTGGAGAACAGAACTCGCTAACGTGCTTAGCCCGGGTCACTGCGGGCATGAGCTGTGCTCCCACCTGCCCTGCGCTGCTCATCTCTCAGCCTCACTGCAGCGTGCTGTGTCTGTGCCTTTATCCACTGAGCTAAACCGGTCAGGACATGTGTCTGTGCCTTTTACTGTAAGATGCCTGGGGTTCCTTACGACTGGATGAGTCATAACGAATAAACGAGTGTGCACGAGGTGCACCTCAGAGCAGGGACCACCCGGCATCGGGCGTGGGGAAAGGGGAGGGAGAAGGGGAGCCATAAGTAGTCAGGGCAGCAGGGGAGGGGAAGACTGGAATCTCAGACTTCCCAGGACGATGAAAGATGACCCCTCTATGGCCCCGACCCCCATCTCCCTCCCACTGGCCAATGGGATCGTTCCCTAGGATCTGTACCCACATCAGGGTCTCATGCTGCCCCCTTCTAGAATCTTAAAAAAGAACCTTCTGTCCACATCACCACCTCTTTCTGCCGAGCCACCCTACAAGGTCAAGCCCAAAGTCCTCTGACCCCTTCCCCAATGTCCAGTCGGTGTCAGGCCCCTTCCTTCTCCCCAGCACAGTGCCAGCCCCTTATCACACCGCCTGCAGCATCCGTCTTCCCCGCCAGCCCGCTGACGCCTCCGGGCAGAATGTGGGTCCCCCAGGGCCAGCTCGGGGCCTGGTAAAGAGGGGGGTTGGCGAGTGCTTGGTGACGTCGGCAAAGAAGAGGCAAGACGCCTGCTCCGTCTCACAGTCCCCGCACACACTGCTTCTTTGGAGACAGGTTCTTGCTGGCTCCGGGCAGGTTCAGGGAGAAGGGGAGTCAGGGCCCGCCCCCCAGGGCCCAGCATGGCACCAGCCGCAGGCTGGAGGGGCCGCCGGAGGCCGAGGCTCTTACCTGGGGCAGAGCCTGCACCACCGTGTCCAGCAGCGCCCGCATGCCCGTGGCCATCTTCAGCAGCTTCAGCACTGTGGGCGAGACCAGCGGCCGCTCAGCCTGGGCCGTGGCCGGGCGTGTGCACGCGTGTAAACGCCACAGCACGTGGCTGAGTGGAGTGTGGCGCCAGGCGTAGACGAGGGCGTGAAAGAGCCCGAGAGGAGGGCCCGCCAGGGGGAGGCCAGGGATAGTGTGTGTGAGGGGAAAGCGTGAGCGGGACTCCCTAGTTCACCGCGATGAGGAGAAATGACCACCAGTGAGTGCCCGCTCTTCCTGAGCTAAAGAGGCCACCCCCTGGGGACCCGGAGCCACAGCGGGCGCAGGGGCGAGTGAGGCGCCGCGCACACGCGGAGGCGGCTCTGAAAGAGTGTGGGGACAGCCTGGGGCGGCCGGGGTCTGGGGAAGAAAGGGGCTTTAAGAAGCTGGTGTTGGAGAACCGGGCCGCATGGGTCGTGGTGCGGTGAGGAGGGGGCGCCGTGTGCTGTACGAAACAGCCCGTGGACGTGGGCACCTGAGTGCATGTTGGCTGTGAGCTCCTCCTGGCTTCTGCTCTCCCTGCTCAGCAGGAAGCCCATCGTGCCCAGTCTCCTCCCCCATCGCCCAGTCCCCTCCCCCATCGCCCAGTCCTCTCCCCTATTGCCCAGTCTTCTTCCCCATCGTGCCCAGTCCCCTCCCCCATCACACAGTCCCCTCCCCCATCGCCCAGTCCTCTCCCCTATTGCCCAGTCTTCTTCCCCATCGTGCCCAGTCCCCTCCCCCATCATGCCCAGTTCCCTCCCCCATCGCCCAGTCCCCTCCCCCATTGTGTCCAGTTCCCCCCCCATGGTGCCCAATCCCCTTCCCCATCGTGCCCAGTCCCCTCCCCCATCGTGCCTAGTTCCCTCCCCCATCGCCCAGTCCCCTCCCCCATTATGCCCAGTCCCCTCCTCCATGGTGCCCAGTCCCCTCCCCCATCACCCAGTCCCCTCCCCATCGTGCCCAGTCCCCTCCCCCATCGTGCTCAGTCTCCTCTCCCATGATGCCCAGTCCCCTCCCCCATGATGCCCAGTCCCCTCCCCCATCGCCCAGTCCCCTCCCCCATGATGCCCAGTCCCCTCCCCCATCATGCCCAGTGCCATCCCCCATGGTGCCCAGTCCCCTCCCCCGCGGCCCCCGCTCTCACCCCGGGCGATGCGCAGAACCCGCATGATGCGGATGATGGTGGGGTTGATGGGCAGGGCTGCGTTGATCTCAATCTCCTCCAGCGTGATGCCCATGACCGACAGCAGCACGATGGCCAGGTCCAGCTGGTTCCACCTGCTCGGGGCACAGGAGGGCAGGAGGGGGAAGCAACGTGAGACTCACTAGTTCAGACACCCTCAGTTCGCAGGAGGTCCCAGCTCTCCGCCCTCCTGCTGTGGCTGGCAGCCACCCTTCCACTTGCCCTCCAGACCCCGCCGGGTCCAGCTCCCTCTCTGCCCTCAGCCTCCAGATCCTCCAGCAAGAGGCTCACCAGGCGAAATAAATACCTTTGGCCTCCTGCAGGGGGGAAGAAATGGACTCTGACTTCTGCCGTAAATCCTGAGCCCCTGCTCCCTCGGTGTGGCCAAGGGCTAGTCTGGCAAGCCCTCCGAACCCTGTTTGCTCCCTGAGAGAGGAGCCCGGGGCTGTGCAGGACCATGGAGCTGTGATGAGGAGACTCGGCACAGGTGGTGCCCTATCGACTTCCTGTTCAGGGCTGCAGGCAGCACCCAGGGGCCCTGGTCATCAGTGCCCAGACACCTATTGGTTCCGCGCCTCTAGCTGCCCCAGGCTTCCCCAGGGATCAGGCCTGCTTCCCGATTCTGCAGCCCCTTCAGTGCTGCTACAGCCTGGCCCAGCTGCTCACCGGTCCTTGAAGAAGCGCCGCAGACCAAATGCCACCAGCTTCAGCACGGCCTCCAGCACAAAGACGGTGGTGAAAAAGTAGTTGCAGTACTTGAGGGCTATCTCCAGGGACTGTGGGGAGGGGGGAGGTCAAAGAGAAGCATGATCCACGCCCCAGAACCTGCCCCTCCCTCCATCTTCCTCTAGTCAGAAAGTCTCCGCCTTTTAAGAGGAGAATTTAATCCATTCACCTTTAGTGCAATGACCTATGTGTCTACTTTTACTCCTTCCATCTTACATAATGCGCACTATTTCTTTCACTGCTTATTTCCTTTTCTTTCTCTCTGCTGGTCTGGTCCAGGTACCCCTCTTTGGAAGCAGTGTTGGTTAATAGTTAGGGGTCATGTTTAAGAACCAGACAGCCTAGATTTGAATCCTGGCTCAGCACTTACTCCTTGTTCACTATGACTTTTGGGCAACTCACTTGACCTCTGGGAGTTAGATTTTCAATCTGTAAACTGGGGATGATAACAGTACCTTACCTCATAAAGTTGCTGTGAAAATTAAATGAGCTAATAGCCCTGTGCCAGGCAGGATTATAAATTTAAATACTTGGTAAATGTGAGCTATTATTACTCCATTTCTTCATGATAATGTGGAAGTTCCTTCCTGCCAATGGTTGCCTTCCTTTCCTCTGAGTGCATAACATTCCTCTGCTATCATCTATACTAATTAAAGGGTAATATGCTAATTAGACTGGGTCCATCGGCCATCTTTTGGACCTCCAACTTCTTTCTGGACAAAGCCATGGTGGTGAGGCCGAGGCAGAGGCAGTTATGGGAGATCAGATAGGCAGGGGAGAACAGTTAGGAGTGAGATCAGGTTGGCAGGGGGTTGGGGGCAATTGGGCTGACAGGGGAGGAGAGTTGGGGGCAATCTAGCCTGCAGGGGAGGGCAGTTGGGGGTGACCAGGCCAGCAGGGGAGGGCAGTTAGGAGCATTAGGCAGGCAGGCAGGTGAGTGGTTAAGATCCAGTGGTCTTGGATTGCGAGAGGGATGTAGAGATTGGGCCTAAACCGGCAGTTGGACATCCCCGAGGGGTTCCGGATTGGAGAGGGTGCATGCCGGGCTGAGGGCCAACATGCCCCACACTGTGTACACGAATTTTGCGCACTGGGCCTCTAGCTTAAAATAAGATACTAACCCCTCACCTGGAGACTGCTCCCCTCTTCTTCCTCCATCTCTGATAAGAAGCTTTTCGGATACACCTGCCCCTACAAGCCCCACACACGCCCCTCATGTACACTGCCTGCAACTAGCTAGGAGCTGGTCACCCTCCCCCACCTCTGTGCTTGCCCCCAACAGCCCTGCTACCTGAAATGCCCCCCTCCCCAGGCTCCATGTGCCCAGGCAGTAGTGGGGGCCACCTGGCCGTCATTGAACACAAATCAAAGTCCTGGCTCCACTGCTTCCTGCTGACTAATTGGGCAACATGTTTTCTCTCCCTGAGCCTCGGTTTGTCCGACTACAAAACCGGGAGGAAGTCCCCTCCCCCACTTTAAGGTTGCTACGAGGATGAGAGTTAAAACCGGCAGCATGCCTTGCAGGAAGTCCTAGGAAACACACCCTGGCCACTGCTACCTGTATTCAAGGTGGGGCCCAGTGTCCCCTTCCCCCCACCAGACATCAGAGACCCTCCCCTCTGGCCCTGCTCTCTCAGTCACCAGTCCTCCCAGGCCGAGAGCTCCCTGGGCACAGGGTCCAGCCTGGGCGACTCCAATCCTGCCCCACCCTGTCCCAGGGCAGGTCCTGCTGAGGGCCTCTCCCCATGAAACCTCAGGCCCCATCGGGGGGCAGGACTGGCACTCACCATCGGCTGGTTGTAGTGTTCCAGGGACATGGTGACCACGTTGAGGCAGATGACGAAGGTGATGAAGATGTCCAGGTAGTGGCTGGTGCACATGGAGTGGATGAGCAGCCGGGTGGGGCAGTAGGTGGCGTAGTAGGGCAGCCTCTGGGCCTCTGCCAGGGGTGGCACAGGGGTGTGGCACAGGCCACAGAGGGTGGCCAAGGCGGGCACAGAACAAGTGGAGGGAGAGGCAGAGGGGGGAGAGGAAGCAAGGAGGAGAGGTGTCAGTCCACCCAGGCCCTGGGAGTCAGGCCTAGGCCCCTCCCCCCAGCCACGGGGCCACAAGGGAAACGGGTCAGATGTGGGGGTACGTGGCAAAGAGAGCAGGACACGGGTCTCTCCGTCCTCCCCCAAAGTGCCCATGGCAGGGGCTCAGCGCCGGGCATCCAGGCTCTGCCTTTGCCCTCTGCCTGGACGGAGACACCTGGCTGGCATGGGTACCACCATCTGATTCCAGGTGGACACAGATGGGGCTCAGGTCACCTGGACAGGCAGACTCTGGGCAAGGGGCCGGGCCAGGGGCGCAGGGGCCGGACCCTCTGTCCCTTCCAGCTCCAAGGCCAGAGGCTGGTGTGGGACTCAGGCCTCAGCCCGCCCAGGAGGACCAGCGGCCGGCGGTGGGGGCAAAGGAGGCCCGGGCGGGGGTCCCCACCCCCGGGAGCCCCCGCTCACTCCGGCGCTTCTTCTCCAGGCGCCGCAGCCGCTTCTCCTCGCGGCGCCGCGCCTCCTCGGCCTCCTGGTGCTGCCGGCACTTGTGGAAGTTCTCCACCACCACGCCCACGAACATGTTGAGCACGAAGAAGCTGACGATGAGCAGGAAGGAGATGAAGTAGAGCAGCATCCAGGGGTTGTGGTTGGGCACGGGCTGCAGGGAGCCAGAGGGGCTGAGGCAGGCTGACCGGGCACCAGGGGCTGCGGTGGGGGAGGGGGCGCCCTACCATGCTGAGCCTCCGTGCAGCTGAGATACAACAGAGCCGGCCTCCCAGGGGGCCGTGCGGTCTGAAGGAGGATGCAGAGGAAGTGCCCACCCTGGCCTGGCACAAGTAAGGTGCTCAGCAAAGACAGCCCCTCCCCTTCCCTGCTCCAGCTGCTGCCTCCTGGACACATGTCCACCCGTCTCCTTCCTTTCACCCACCCACCATCCACCCACTTATTAATCTGTCCACCCACCATCCACCCACCTATTCATCTACCCATCCATCCACTTATTCATTCATCCATCCACACATCCATCTATTCACCCATCCACCCACCCATTCATTCATCCATCCATCCACCCACCCATCCATCCATCCACCCATCCACCCATCCATCCACCCACAACACATCCACCTATTCACCCATCCACCCACCCATCCATCCACCCATCTATTCATTCACCCATCCATCCACTTATTCATCCATCCATCCACACATCCATCTATTCACCCATCCACCCACCCATTCATTCATCCATCCATCCACCCACCCACCCATCCACCCACCCATCCACCCACCCATCCATCTACCCACCCATCCACCCACCCATTCACCCATCCATCCATCCATCCATCCACCCACCCATCCACCCACCCACCCATCCACCTATCCATCCACCTATCCATTTGTCCACCCACCCATCCATCCATCCATCCACCCAATATCCACCTATCCATCCACCCATCCATTTACCCACCCACCTACTCTTCCATCCATCTATTCACTTATTCATCCATCCGTCCACTTATTCATCTGTCTACCCATCATCCATCCACCTATCTATCCATCCAACCATCCATCCACCCACTTATTCATCCTTCCAGAAATAAGGCAGCCAGCAGGGGGGAAACATCCCTTGTGGAGTCCATGTGTGTAGCGGGGTTGGGAGGCGGGGGAGGGGAGTTAGGGTGGTGAATGAATGGAGAAGTACAGGAAGATGCCCCCAAGTGCTCTCATTCCCTACTCTGCCCCTAAAGGGGCCCCTACTCCCGGGGGAAACTCAAGAGCAAGAGCTCAGACTTCCCCTCGGGCCCAGCCTCCTCCCTGATCCCTTCCACCTTCTTCATTCTCAAATCCATCCCCCCAGCAGCCCACAAGAAGCCCCACAGGCAAGCCCGGCGCTGCCACTCCCTGGCTCTAATGCCTTCTCTGGCTCCCACTGCTCCCAGCTGAACGCCGGCCCTGCCATGCCGGACACCCAGTCCTGCTTGCCTCCTCCACACCTCCTGCCATTCTCCCCACACTTCCTACTCCGGAACCTCTTCTCAGGACTCCCTGAATGTGTCACTCTCTTGCCTCAGGCTGCACCTACTGTCCCCTCGGCTGGCTCAGCCCCTCTCCGCCCGCCAGGCCCTGCACCCCTCCAGGCCTGGCCAGCTTGGCGGGCTGTCCCTACAGAGCAAATGGAGCAATGACGTTCACTCCCCAAGGGGTGGCTCTGCTGGGGGAGGATTGAGGCCAGGATGGGGAGGGGTAGGCCTCGCTGACAGGGGGAGACGCTGGGGCTGTGGGTCTTGCTGACACCGATTTCAGATCACTGGGCCCCAAAACCGCCTCGCCCCTGCCCTGCTGCCCCGCTGCCCCGGCCCAGCCACCCCCACCTGCTGGTCCACGGCGACAGCATCCAGACCGTTGTACATGATGTTCACCCAGCCATCCTTGGAGGCCAGGACGAAGAGGGACATCAGGGCCTGGCAGACATGGGGAGGGGAGGGGACAGAGGTGATGGGTCGCAGAGGGTCGCGGACCAGCGGAGACTGCCCGGCAGTCACACACCTCCGGAGCCTCCTCTCCCCAACCCGCCTCCCCCCAACCTGCCTCCCCCCTGCTCCACCCGATGCTTCCGCCACACCGTTCATCTGTCGCAGCCCAGGGCCCGGGCCAAGAAATGAGGTTCTGGGATGGATGGGTCTCCTGCCGGCACCGGCCCTCCTGCTGTCGCTGTCCCTCCACCCCCCAGGGTGACAGGTGGGGGGAGGGGCTCACCTGGCCCAGGTTGTCGAAGTTGTACTTGTGATGGACCCAGCGGTAGTTGGCGGCCATGCAGTCGGAGCGGTTGGTGATGTTGCGGGTGTCCACGCCCAGACAGTGGTAGAACTTGCCCTTGAAGAGCTGCAGGGAGGGGCGCAGGGTGAGCGGCCTCCCATGGTGGGGGGGGGGGGGGTGCCACTCAGAACAGGGGCTGCTCCTCAGGAGACACCTCCTCTGTGCACAGCCCGGCCAAGCACTCAGCCACACCATTGCCCCAAGTCCCCCCCAGGAAGGGGCGCTCTCTCATCCCCTCTCGCAGAGGAGGAGACGGAGGCCCAGGGGCGGCAGGTAATGTCCTCAAAGTCACTGAGGTTTAGGAAGTGGCAGAGTCGAGGTTCACACCCTTGTTTGTCTGCTTCCTGGGCTCTGCACAGGCCCGACACCAGACCCCAGTGCCTGTGCCCAAGATCCAGGCGGGGACCCCACGGGAGAAGATGCCTGCATATCCCCAGGGGAGAGAGACACAAGCCTCCTCCGTGTCGGCGCCACTGTCCACTCCAGCCCCTCCTGCCCAGGTGGCTCCCCTGTGGCTCTCTCAGCAACCCCAAAGAATGCCTGTGCCCAGGCTCCTCGCCGGCTACAGCCCAAAGGCAGGGCCCGGTGAGGAGCGTTCGGGCCTCGGGGCTCAGACACGCAGGAAACAGGAAGGGTCTCAGCAGCCGCTCAGACCCCAGAGGGCCCGGGCCACTGGGGCCACCCCCATCACCCACCTTATGACCAAACCCATTCACGCCCCGAGGCCCATCTCATTCCTGGGCGGGGCTCCAGCCCAAAGCCCACACCAGCTCCAGGCCCTGCTGTGTCATGGCCCCCATGGCCCCGATCCCGGAGACACCAGCCCCGGCTCCTTCACTGCCCTCCCAAGTGCTTCCCGTCTGACCAGCCCACCATCGCTCATCTCTACTCCAGTCATAGCTCCCGGCTCACCTCCACGTGTGCCCATCCTCCCCTGAACCACCCCCAACACACCTGTCCCAATCACCCTTCTTCACGGCCCAGTGCAAAGGGCACCTCCTCAGGGTGCTTCTCCCTCTGTCCCCAGCCCAGCCCCCCGCTCCTGTGTAGCTCGGACCCTGTGATCCAATTTACCCAGCCTGCCTTGCATCAACCACGTCTGTCTCCCTCTGGGACGGGGAACTCACTGCTGACGAGGACGTGCTGCTCCACCAGGGCCCCAAGCCCCCGGGTCGGAGGAGCTGAGCGGGACTGAGGAGCCTGTATGCCCACCTGACAGCTGGCACCCCTCACCTGCACCCCCAGGATGCCGAAGATGATGAAGAAGGCGCAGCAGATGAGGACGATGTTGCCGATGGGCTTAAGGGAGGAGATGAGCGTCTCCACCACCAGCTTCAGGCCCGGGGCCCGGCTGATGACCCTGCAGGCGGGGAGGGACCGGGGCACGGTCAGCCTCAGCCAGGTGGGAGGCGGCCCGGGCCGCCCAGAGTCACCAGATCTGTGAGCACAGCAGGCACTGCGCGGGGGGGCCGCCTTCATCCCCAGTCTTCACACACATACACACACACACACACACACCCATACCCACACACACACACACACACACACACACACACATACACACACTTGCACACACACACACACACACACACATACCCACCCACCCCCCCACACACACATATACACACACTTGCACACGCACACACATATATACACACATGCACACACATATATACACACATACACATACACACACATAGACACACACACACACACACACACGTGCACTCCCTCAGCCTGATGCCTGGCCCTGCTCAGCTAGTGCTGGGCACAGGCCAGCCGAGGACTATGGGTAGGGAGGACTATGGGTAGGGAGGGCAAGAGACCCCAGGCCCGCCCCCGAACACGGGGGGCTCCTCACCGCAGGGGCCGCAGGGTGCGCAAGAGCCGCAGCACCCGGAGGACCCCCAGGATCTTGGCGCCGCCGGCCGAGGCCAGGGATACCACAATGTCGATGATGGACACGAAGACCAGGAAGCCGTCCAGCACGTTCCAGCTGCTGCGCAGGTACGCCTGCTCCCCGAAGTACAGGCCCAGCGAGACCACCTGGCGGGCGACGGGCAGGTCACCTGCCTCGGCCGGAGAGCCGGGCTGAGGGGAGTCAGGGGAGGAGCTGCAGGGGACACACGCTCAGCAGATGGGTGGTGGGCAGGCCCTGGCAGGTCTGGGCGCATGAAGCAGCCCCACAGTCTGTTCTGGTCCACTCCCCCCTCACATCTGCAAACCCAGTTCCAAGCCTCCAGCAGGCACCCCCCTTGCACTGCAGACATCTCCTTGCGTTCGCCTTTCCGGCAGTTGTGACGTCCTGGAGAGCAGGACGTGGCTGGCTCCCCTCTCCCCGCAACCCGGGTCACGCTAGCCCAGCGCTGGTACCAAGGGGGTGGTTCTCTGGGCCCCTAAGGGCTGCTGCTGGCCAGCAGGTGAGTGACCGCCAGGGGAGGGCGGGCCACGGGGTGGGAGGGTCCCAGGTGAGGACGGGGGCTACCTTGAGGGTCATCTCGCCCACGAAGATGGCCGTGAAGATGTAGTTGGACACGGTGAGGAATATGCGTTCCTGGAAGAGCAGGAGACACCATGGGCCTGGGCTCCAGGACTGCCCGGCCCCCCTGCCTCCGGCCAGCGGGCATTCGGGGAGGCCACGCCACAATCCCAGGAGAGGCCCCTCCCGGGGACAAGCTCCCTGCCACACCTTCCTCCGCAGTGTCCATAGCCACCGCGCTGAGGGCTCCTAGTCCCCCCTGGCCCTACCCCCCGCCCCACAGCAGGCCCACGGCCCGCCCCTCAGCCTGGCCCCGGCCCTGCCCGCAGACCCGGCCACTCACAGTGCTGCCGGCCTCGATCTGGGGCCGCTCCAGGGCAATGGTGATGCAGTTGAGAAAGATGAAGGCCAGGACGACGTAGTCGAAGAGCTTGTGGGCGATGATGGTCTGGCACAGGACCCGGAACCTGAGCAGAGAGGGCGGGGCCGTGAGGGTGGGTGCGCCCCTCACCCCCCACGGGAGGCGGGCAAAGGGCTGAGGCCCAGGGATGGCCTAGAGCCGTGGCCGGCAAACTCATCCGTCAACAGAGCCAAATAACAACAGTACAAGATTGACATTGCTTTTGAGAGCCGACGTCTGCGCACGGACCACAAAGTTTCAGTCGCACTGTATGTGCGCACCTGCATGTGGTATTTTGTGGAAGAGCCACACTCCAGGGGCCAAAGAGCTGTATGTGGCTCAAGAGCCGCAGTTTGCCGACCAGGGGCCTATATAGGACACTGACCCTTCTTTTCTCCACCCACCCCACAGGTGGCCATTCACATCTGCTCAGGGCGCCCACTGGGAGCCGCCTCCCAACCACACCCCCACGGCCTCCGGGTGAAGGGCACCCTCCTCGCCCTGCCCTCCGCCACGCGGACACACCTTGCCTGGTGCCCCAAGCTTCTGCCCAGACCTTCCCTTGGGCTGCTCCCTCCTGGTCCAGCCTCCACCTCCTCACAGCCCTGCCCCCTACAGATGCCCCTGCACATCCTCCCCTGCAGGAAGCCCTGATGCCCCTCCCGACGGCAGCGCCGGCTACGTGAGCATCTGCCCCCTCTGGTGCCAGCGCCGGGCTGGCCTGGACGGAAGTCCCCATCCAAACACAGGGCAGAGGCCCTCTGAGGAGCAGGCCCCGCCCTCCATGGCCCTCCCTGCTCTGTGGGACTCTCTCCCTCGACCTTTCACCCCGGCCCATCTCCTGGGCCCAGCGGCCCACCTGTTCTCCGGGGAGAAGAGGAAGACGGACCAGTCCTCCCGCAGCTCGCACCAGTCCGGCTTGTACGCGTCAATCATCTTGCGAACCCGGAAGCACAGGGTCTGGCCGGGAGAGGAGGGCGGGCTGGTCAGCGCTACCCAGAGCTGCCCGTCTCTGCCCTCTCAGCCATTCAGCAGACGGGTGTCTCCGGGCAACCTCTGAACTCTCCCAGGAAGATCAGAGCCCACACCTCGCCCATGGCAGCAGGAGGGCGTCTCTCCCAGGGCTGGGCCCACCTCAGCTTGGCCACCTCCCTGAAGCCCTGCCCCCTGGCCCTGCCCCTGAGGCCCTCCTCCTCCAGCCCTGCCCCCCCCCCCCCCCCCCCCCCCCCCCCCCCCCGTCTCCCCTCTTTCTGTCCCCTGGCCCTGCCCCTGAGGCCCTCCTCCTCCAGCCCTGCCCCCGCCCCCGTCCCCCCTCTTTCTGTCCCCTGGCCCTGCCCCTGAGGCCCTCCTCCTCCAGCCCTGCCCCCCCCCCCGTCCCCCCTCTTTCTGTCCCCTGGCCCTGCCCCTGAGGCCCTCCTCCTCCAGCCCTGCCCCCCCCCCCCGTCCCCCCTCTTTCTGTCCCCTGGCCCTGCCCCTGAGGCCCTCCTCCTCCAGCCCTGCCCCTCTCCCTGTCCCCCCTCTTTCTGTCCCCTGGCCTTGCCCGTGAGGCCCTCCTCCTCCAGCCCTGCCCCCTCCGGGTCCCCCCTCTTTCTGTCCCCTGGCCCTGCCCCTTAGGCCCTCCAGCCCGGGCCCCTACTTTTTCTGTCCGGGGACCTTCTCCCGGCCCCCGGCCCCGCCAACTCACGTAGTCCACCTCCTCTTCATCTTCCCCGTGGTCCCGGCGGCCCCCCATCTGCGTGAAGACCTCCTTGGCGAGGTGGGGCATCCTGCCATTGCAGTCCTCGTGCCCGGGGCCCAGGCCGGCCGCCCTCCAGGCCGCCCGGGGGCGGGGGCCCACCGGGGGCCCCAGCTCGGCCAGGTCCAGCGAGCCCCGGGTGTCCAGGGACAGCGTCCGGCGGTGGCGGCGGTGGTGGTGGTGCAGGTGGTGGCGGGGGGCCGGGCGGGGGCCGGGGTGGGCGTGGCAGACGTGCGGGGTGTGCGGGGGCGCGGGCCGCGGCGGCCCCTCGTCCCGGACGCCCTCGCCGGCCCGGGCCCCGCGCTCGGCAGCCAGCAGGGCTTCGTGCTCCGCGGACGGCGGCCTGTGCTTGAGGCTGTTCCAGCTGGAGCGGCGGCTGGCCCAGGCCCCACTGCGGCCCCAGGGCCCGTAGCAGGAGCTCCGGGAGCTGGACTGGGAGGAGCCGGGCGCCCGTCAGCCCCGCGGCCCTGGCGGGGGCCCTAAAGGGGCCGTGGGCCTGGCCAGGGGGTGGCAGAACCAGCGGGACTCCGGGGGCCCTCTCCCCGCCCGGCCTCGCACCCCCTGCACCCGTGGCCAGGCGGCCGTGCCCACAGTGTGCCCTCGTCTCCTCCTGCCAGCTCGTTCCTTTGAAAAGGGCCATTTTCCTCTTTACAGGCAAGGAAACTGAGGCCCAGAGAGGCTGTACCTTCCTGGTGGGGTCTGCCTGCCCCCGAGCTCAGCTCTTTACCCTACACATCCCATTCTCCACACCAGACCCACTGGCCCCACCCCATTCATTCATTCACTCATTCATTCGTTCCTTGCTGTCAGGTCCCACTCTGGCACCTGGAACCCACAAATGCAAGAGGGATCATCCCTGCCTAGTCTGGCTGACCACCCGGTGCCCCAGGCCTGGGCACCAGTTTGAAGGCCCTTCTCCCCAGGGCCCCTCGGCACACCCCGCGGGAGTAGCCATCATAGACACTCCCCCCCTCCCCGCCAGGACTCACCAGGGAGCGCTGGTCGTAGCTCACCCTGCCCAGCGACATGACGCTGCTCTTGCGGGAGCCCAGGGCCACCAGCATGGGGTCCGGCTGCAGCGACAGGCGGGCAGGGGCCGCGGGCCCGGCGGGGCCCAGGTGGCCACACAGAGGGAGGCTGAGGTCCAGGTGCCCGTTGGGTGTCAGAGGAATCGGGCACAGCTTGGGGTCTGGAGCGGGGAGAGGGACACAGAGGGAAGGGCAGACAGAAAGCCGGAACAGGAGCAGAAGAAGATATGAGACAAAGAAGCAGACATGGACGACAAACAGAAACAGGGAGCTGTTCTGGGGAGACCCACTCCACCAGGAAGCCACCACAGGTGCCTCCGCTCTGCCCAGCCTACAGGCTCTCAGCTTATGTTTGTTTGTGTTTATTTTCTCAGCTTATTTTTGGGTGCGTGAAACCCTTGCCTTCCGGGTTCAGGGAAACCACTGAGCTTCACCCAGCATGAGCCCGCCCTGCCATGCCCGCTGTGGAAAGCAAGGCAGAGGCCATCCAGCCCGTTAGTGACCCAGGACATGGCGTGGGCTGGCAGGATTGCCCAACAGGACCAAACCCCGGGCATCCCGAGCCCAAAGCTCTTCTCAACAGGCCACTGACTTTTTAAAAATATATATTTTTGCCAAAACCGGTTTGGCTCTGTGGATTGAGCATCAGCCTGCGGACTGAAAGGTCCCAGGTTCGATTCCGGTCAAGGGCATGTACCTTGGTTGCGGGCACGTCCCCGGTGGGGGTGTGCAAGATGGATGATTCTCTCTCAACGATGTTTCTAACTCTCTATCCCTCTCTCTTCCTCTCTGTGAAAAATCAATAAAACATATTAAATATATATACATATATATATATTATTGATTTCAGAGAGGAAGGGAGAGAGAGAGACAGAGAGAAACATCAATGATGAGAGAGAATCATTGATCGGCTGCCTCCTGCATGACCCCCACTGGGGATCAAACCCACAACCGGGGCATGGGCCCTCATCCATAATTGAACCCAGGACCCTTCAGTCCGCAGGCCGACACTCTATCCCCTGAGCCAAACCGGCTAGGGCTGGCCTCCGACTTTTTGAGACGTAGCATTTCTTTCCGTTATGAATGTAAACAACAAAAGGCAGAGATTGGCAGTCCCAGAGCCTGGGTTTGAGGGGAGACCTGGAGAGGCTGTGCCCCGGGCCCACCGGCGTCTCTGGGGAGGGTTCCCGGCCCCCCAGGGGACAGGAGAGGCCCGTGTACCTCCGAGGCTGTCCAGGCCCTCCTGCAGCTTGTCAAACTCGTCAGGGCTGGACGAACTCTGGTCCTCGTCCGAGTAGGAGCGATTGGCGTCACCCTGGGAGGCGGGCCCCCACATTAGATCACATGTCATCTCAACCCTCCCCTCCTGCAACCTTTTTAATGGGTGCCCCCCCCCCAGCCCAACCCCGTTTTACAAATGCAGAAACTGAGGCTCAGGAAAGGAGAGTGAGAACCAACGAGGGCCCAGCCCACAAACCCACGTCTGCCTGACTCTGAGTTCCCCAAAGCCTCGGAGGATGACGGAGGTGGGATCCAGAACCCGGGTCCTGGAGACTTTAATCTCAGAGATGGAGAGGGAGGCCTAGTCTTACCCCCGGGGGAGACGCGGGGACCCTAGATGCTGCCTCCATGTGCCTGCTTCCTGGGATGGGAGGCTCACTCCCTCACTGGCTTCCCCCTCTTCTGGAGACTCGCCTGCTAGGTGTCTGAATTGCAGCCCTCCCCCGTCCGGACCCCCTCTCCTCCCCCCGTCTCCCCAGGCCCCAGGAGGCGCTTCCTCCCCAGGGTCCCAGTCACCTCCGCCTGGAAGCCCTCCACCAGGATGGCCACCAGCAGGTTGAAGAGCACGTAGTTGCCGAAGGTCATGAGGGCCACGAAGTAGAGGGAGGCCCAGGGTGAGGTGGAGGCCATGCCGTTGTAGAGGACGACGTTCCAGTCCTCCTGGGTGAGGATCTGGGGGTGGGGGGGGCCGCGGCTCAGCCCCAGCCCAGCCCAGCCCAGCCTAAGGGCAGGGGGGCCTGTTGGGTGGGGTAGCTGCAGGCACCTGGCAGCCCGTGCCCCCTGCAGCCTCCTCTCACAGGAGCTGGGCACCCAGGGACCTGGACGATCACCGCGCTAGCTGGGGTGTGCCCACCTGGCAGAGCCTCAGACACCCCCCCACATACACACACCCCGCTTGCCTGTGCTCCCAGCGTGCCCACGCCCGAAAGCCTGTATCGCACACCCCTGCCCTGACACCCACTCCCCACTGAGCGGGGCTCCCTCCCAGCTGCTCCCACAGCCCCCTCCTCCATCCCGCTCAGGCGATCCGCCTGCCCGCCCCCCAGCACAAGGCCACCCCCATCTCCCTGCTCCTCCGCCCCTGAGCTGTGTACACACACGTCCATGCCACGTCTCCTGAGGGGAGACGCCTAACGGGCCCCACGTCTCAGGGTGGGAGCGGAGGGGGCAGGGAGGGCACTGGGCGGGCAGCCCGTCTGGCCACGCCCCCCATGCGGGCCCACGAAGCCGGAGTGGAGGGACCTCCCTGTCAGGCCCCCTCTCCTCTGGATTCCCCGAGGCTGGCTGGCGGCACCAACAGGAAGCGATCCCGATCCCGGTGAAGCCTCGCGCCCGCCCCCTCCCCATCACACAGGGGCACGAGCTCGCCTGGAACACCGTGACGATGGCCCACAGCAGGGAGTCGAAGTTCTTCCTGTCCGGGATGGTGTCTCCCGTGTCCGTGCGGAGGCTGAACTTGCAGCCAAAGATGTGCATCCCGAGAATGCTGGGGGAGGGGCAGAGGGAGGGAGGCGGCTCAGGGACACCCGGCTCCGGCCCATCCTCCTGTGTCTTCCCCTAACACAGCCCAGTAAGACGGGAGGGAGCCACGCGGGTCCCATTTCACAGACGTGAACACTGAGACCCCGAGGGGACATGCCGGCCCAGAGCCACGGGGGACTGAGGGGGGGTGGCAGGACTGACACCCGGGCCCGGGGTGTGGCCCGAGAGCTCCGCCAGCCCCCGCCTCCCTCAGCCCGGGCCGGGGCAGGGGCGGCCGGGGGCGGGCCCACCTGAAGATGAAGATGAAGAGCATGAGCAGCATGCAGAAGGTGGCCACGTTGTCCATGGTCTTCATGAGCACCACCAGCTGGCGCCGCAGCGCAGGCATGAAGCGCACCAGCTTCAGCACCCGCAGCAGCCGGAAGGTGCGCAGCACGGACAGCCCGCCGTCCGCCTGCCCCACGATCTCCCAGATGCTGCCCGGAGGCCGCACGCCGTCACGCCGTCACGCCATCACGCCGGGGCGGGGGTGGGGGGTGGCGGGGAGGGAGGGGGGAGGAGAGAGGGCAAAGGGAGAGACGGAGAGCTCCATTCATTCATTTGTTCGTCCAACCAACAGTAGGTCAAGGTCACTGCTGCTCCAGGCACCCTAAGGTGGGGGTCTGTTAACCTGGATTCCACCGACCCTCCTCCGAGGAGTCTAGGGACGGAATTCAGGGATTTCTGAATTCAGAATCCAGAATCCACAAAGGTCGCCGGGCTGTTTCTCAGATTTTACTTTCTTTCCAGTGCGAACGGAGGCAACGAAATACAGAGAATCGGCGGCTCCCGTGGCCTCGCGGTGAGTGGGAGTCGCCGTTGTGAAGTCCCACGGCGGTGGGTGCGGACATTTCCGAGCAGAGTGTATGCTGCTCCCTCCCCCGGGGCGGTGGGAGTCACAGACCCGCTGCTCGGCCTCACCACTCAGTGCATTAACCCAGGAGCACGTATGTGGCCGAATCACACATTTGTTAGGATCTGTGTCCAGTGCACTGCAGTGTCATCGGCTTCCTTCACCGGCTGGGCCACCCCCTCTTTCCCCCTGACCCCCCTCCCAAGGGCCCACCGCCGGGCGGAGGGGGCACCTGATGATGACGATGATGCTGTCGAAGATGTTGTAGGGGTTGCGCAGGTAGTCGAAGAGCCCGAAGGCCGCCAGCTTCAGCAGCATCTCCAGGGCGAACATGCTGGTGAAGACCACGTTGCAGATCTCCAGGACGTTGGTCAGCTCCTCGGGCTGTGGGCGTCGGGAGGGGAAAGGGGCCCTGTCAGGCAGAAGGCGGCCACGGGTCCCCTGTGGAAGCCCCCTGGCTCTCGGACTGCCCCCCCCGGCCCCCCAGGAGGGGGCAAGGCCTGGCTCTGCCACCCGGCTGCAAGGCCTGGAAGGGCAGTATCCTCGCTGGTGCTCCATCTCCCTTTACCCCGAGGCCTTGAGGACTTCGCAGTCCTGCTGCCTGGATCCCGAGAGGCCCACCGAGAGGCTGGGACCCCTCGGGGCTGACCTGCCACAGATTTGGAAATGGTGTTCTAGCCACACGCAGAGAGAGGCATCACGATGCCTGCTGCACAGAGGAAGGCACGGGCTCAGATGCCGGTCTGAGGCCGCACAGTGCAGAGCGGAAAGTGGAAGGCAGCTCGTTTGCAGAGAGGAAGCAGGCGGAGAGCAGGCCTGTGTCTGCTCCCACCTGAACCACAGACAAGGGGAGGACCTGCACCCCCAGCACAACCGCCGATGCCGATGCCCCAGGCGACCGGGAGGCCCCGGGAGGCAGCTCCATGGCACAGGGGAGGAGATGGAAGCTCGGAGAAGTGATGGGACTTGCTCAGCGTCACCCAGCAGGGATGTGGCCGAGCCGGGCACTGCACCCAGTTGGACTCCAAACTGCTCTCCTGCGACACACGGACCCCACCTCGCTCGTCCGTCCCCTCCTCCACGCATCCCTCCTGCACTGGCGCACGCACGCGCGCATTCCACAGTCCGCAGGCCGCCCCGCTGCCGGCCGGTGCCCCCGGCGGCCAGTGGGTGAGCCGGGACACGCTTCCTGCCCTGGGCAGTGCAGGTTCTGGTGGCAAAGCCCCGCCAGGCACGTTAACTAACCAGCCAGCCAGCAGGGGTAACTGGGAGCGTGAGGGTGGCTTGGGGAAGGGTGACCCTGGAATCAGGAGCAGCTTCCTGGAGGGAGGGACACTCAGCGGAGGCTCAGAGCTGAGAGGAGCAAGTGGCAGGGACAAGAGAAGGTGTCCAGGCCGAAGGACCAGCCAGGGTCAGGACGGTGTGTGTGTGTGTGTGTGTGTGTGTGTGTGCCCCTCCCTGGCAACCGGACACCTAAGAGGCCTGACTTTAATTCCGTTCGGGTTAAAGGGAGAAGGGACAGAAGAAAAACCAGCCTCCGCTTCCCGCCTGCTGCCTGGGAAATACAGTAAAACTGCCAGCTCCCTCCAGCCCCGATGGAAGGAGAGAGCCCCATCCCGTCTGTGATTACATGCGACTCGCAAAGCGGTCCCGGGAGGGGGGCCGAACCTGCGCTGGGCCCTCGGCGGGGAGGGCTGGGCCCGGCATCGGGGCTGAGTCGGGGCCCAGATGCTGCTCTGAGCCACCAATTCCCCCGCAGGCCACACGCCACTCGGCACTCGGAGATGAAAAATGTGGACGCTGACAGCCCGTAATTGCCCATCACCCGCTCCGAGCCCCTCGCGCTGCACGCCGCTCCGCCTGCAACTGATGGCAGAGACGCGGCTCCCCAAAAGGTCACCCCCTCGCTCCCCGGCTCCCTGGCAACAGCTGTTTCTCCAGGCAAGTGCACACCTGTTAATCTGTCCCCAATGGCCCATCCATCACTCCTGCAAACCCTCCTCCGGGGGAGACAGTGAGCGGGGGAGACAGGCAGAGCCAAATATCTACAGCACAACAATTGGAATTTCTTTTGAGAGCCGAAAACCGACTTCTGCGCATGGGCCACGAAGTCTCCATCGCACTGTACGTGCGCGCCCGCACGTCGTATTTTGTGGGGCCAAAAAGCCGCATGTGCTCGCGAGCCACAGTTTGCCGACCACTGGCCTATGGTGCCCCCATTTTACAGACAGGAAACCTGAGGCTCAGAGAGGAGAGGTGGTGGCTCAGGGCCAAGGCCAGGCAGGAGTGGGATCAGATCTCAAACCCGGGTCTCTCCCCTGGGCCCACACCCCTTCACCTGCCCCACGCTCCTGACTTGAGGGACCAGCTCAGCGCAGACTTGTCACTGCCCTGCTTACAAGCCTTCCACGCCCCCCACCACCTACGGGTACAGCCAGCCTCAAAGCCCTCCGGGCGGGCGGGCAGCTCCCCGCCTCCCAGGCTGCCTGCCTCTCCGTGTGGGCATCCTCCCGGGGACACTGGGCTCTTTGGGGGAGCCTGTGCCCGGTCCCTGCTCCTGCTCCTCTTCGGCCTCGCTGGTGGCCCCTTCTCACCCCCAGACTCCATCTCCAGCATCACTGGCCCCGAGAAGCCTGCCCTGACTGGGCCCTGCGGGTGCCGCCCTCTCCCAGCCACAGAGCCAGGCTGCTGGGCACTGAGCACCCCACCCTCACTTCCCAGGGTCACCCCGCACCTGGGTCGGCAGTGACGTGGGGGCTGCTGACGGGAGAATGAAACCTGCTTTGACCCTCCCGCTGAGCTGGAGGCCTCGCAGGCAATCCCCCAGGGGCTGGGGCCAGCGGACACCCCCAGGCTGGGTCACCCCTGCCCAGGAGGCTCCCCATACTCCTGTCGTGCTGCCCATTCAGCCTCACCCTCTGTGTCCTGTTTCCAGCTTGCCGACTGTCCTCCAGCCCCAGGACAGCCTAGCCCAGCTCCGGAGGGGTCCCCGGCCCAGACAGGTGACTGCCAGGGGAGGGAGAAGCAGGTGTCTCCCCATACCCGTCTGTCCCCTCAGTGGAATCTCCAATGCAAGCTGAGAACCCCACGCCAGCTCTCACAGCTGCTCACCGTCACCTGGGCAAGCATCCCCCCCTCTCTGAGCCTCAGTTTCCCCATCTGCCCAGTGGGGATAAGACGCCTCCTCTGCCTGCCACCCAGGCCTGCCGTGAGGGCCACCCGGGGGAGAGATATAACCAACCCTGACAGCGGGTGACGATGGAGGCTCTGGTGCCCACGCGGACCCCACACACATGCTGTCACCCAGCCTCCGCTATGGAGAGTCTGGGCCCACCCTCCTCCCAGGACGGAGGGGGAGGGAAGGGTAGACTTCGGGGTCACAAGGGCCCCCTGCCTGGCTGGCCCTCCCGTTCCCCGGTCCCTCTCCCAGGCTGGTCTGTGGCCAGGAGGAACCTGGGACGCGCCTGAAGGCCGTGGTACCTGTGGTCCCACCTCTCATTTCAGTGCTGTGACCAGATGGGGAGCAGCCCCCCACTTCACCGATGGGGCAGGGGAGGAGTGCCCAGGCCCTCCATGGTGGCCACACCAAGGTCCCTGCCAGCAGAGGGGGCGGCCGCAGTGTGGCCGCACCCCAAGGATGCTTCCCCTCAAGGTCACGCCCTGCAGGAGAGGGGCAGTGTTCACCGGCCTTCCCCCCTCCCCTCCCGCCCTGCCCCCTCAGCCCTGGGCCCCGCCCTCTGCAGGCGCTGCTCAGACGGGGCAGCTCAAAATAAACAGGGCAGACCGCTCCCCACCGAGCTGCGAGCTGCGTCTGGGAGTCAGGGAGGAGGGAGCAAAAATACGCACGCGCGGAGCTCTGCCGAACAATGGCTGCCACGCGGAGCGGCTTTAAAAAGAGGGTTTTAAAAATCTTCCCTCTCCCCCCCCCCCCCCCCCCCCCCCCCCACTTCTCCTTTCATTCATTTCTGAGGTTCCAGACAGCAGGTGGTAACGCCACTCCAAAAGTGGTGTGTGAGGCTCCAGGGAAAGATCCAGAAACCATTCCCAACTCGCGAGCACCTACTATGTGCCAGGCTTCCTACTATGTGCAGTTCTCCCTCCTGCCACTCTGTGCAGAGGCCGTGAGGACTGCACCGCGCAGGCTCCCACCTGCCACGTGCTAAGTGCTCAGTGAATGGGAGCTGATCCCCGTGAGGGGAAGGGGAGAAACCGAGGTAGACCCTTGGGAGGGGCAGTGTGAGAGCAGCTTTTCCAGGCCTGATGGGGGCCCACGGGGTGCCTTCAGGGCCAGGAAGAAGAGGCCCCACCGTATCCGAGGCTAGAAAGCTTGCCCAGGCAGAGATCCGGGCAGGGGCCCTGGCCCGGCCGGAGGCTGGCGCCTGACAGGTAGAGGGAGGGATTGAACCCAGAGCACAGAGCGGCCCCAGCTGCTGTGCCGCCCTGGAGGGGACCCCTGGGAAGACAGGGGCCAGCATTATCCTGGCAAGGAGGCCCCAGAGGAACAGCCCTGACGGTAGCAGACGCCAATGCAGACGCCAATCTCCGTGGTGTAAACACTTCCTCCGTGGCCAGTCTCAAGCAACCAGCTGTCTCTAACAGTGGCCTTGCAACATGCCTGCGGTAGGAAATTGCTCTTGCAAGTCAGTTCCAGCAAGCCACTGGGTGCCGGGCCCCTGGGTGCCGCCCCACCAGCACCAGCACCCTGTGCTCCTGTCCCCTGAGGGGCCTCCCCCAGAAATGCTGCCTCCCCCCCCCCCCTGCCCGGCAGGCCTGAGCCGGGCAAAGGCCACCAGGCTGGACCCCAGGCCCGGGGTCCGGCTGCCCTCTCCCCAGCTCTCCCCTGCAGAGCCTCCCCCGGCCTCCCGAGGCCTCTCTGACGGAGCCGGAGCGGCTGGCAGCCCAGCGGCTCTGCACTGCGTGTCCCGACAGCCCCGGCGGCCGCGTTTAAGCAAATGGAACGGGGCCTGCGCTGGGCAGACTAGTGCAGAGGGAAATGAGAGTGTGGCCCACCGCGCGGTGCAGCGGGCGGGTGGGCGGGGCCTCCGCAGAGGGAAGCTACGGAGGCATCCAGGCTCTAACCCTGCAGGACTGGCAGGGGGCCTGCAGCCAGCGGCATCCCTCCCTGGGCCCAGCTGTCAGATGCCCTCCCAGGGTGGAGTCACCTATGGGCTGGGGGTCACTGGGAGCCAGAAATAGACGCTTTTCCAAATGGAGCCGGGGCTGGAGCGGTCACCCACTGGCACTATGGACCAGGGACATATAGGCTAACCACTCCCACCCCATTCCTCCCTCCTGTGTCCCTACACGGTCTCCTCAAGCTCCCCGTGTCCCTGCCACCTCGTGGGGACCCCTCCTCTGAGCTCCTCTCTCAACCCCAGCTGTCCCCGATGGCCTGGGACACACCATGTGGCCGAGGAGGGAGAAGGGTGACAGCCGGCCCAGGGCAAGCACAGGCCACCCTCAGGGCTGGGGGCTGGGGGGCCGGTGAGTGGGGCACCAGGCACAGGAGGGCGCCGTCAGCTGCGCGTATGTGTGGGCGATGGTGACTGCCAGGGACAGGTCTGTGCTCGGTGCCAGGGCGATGGGAGCGGCAGACGGTGTGGGCAGGGGAGAGCCTGGCCTCCAAAACCTCACCCCAGCTGCCCCGGGAAGATGACAGGAGGGTGCGCATGGAGAAGTGGGAGTCAGGTTAGCAGGGACGAACAGGGGGTATGGCCCTATCTGTGGATAGAACGTCGGCCTGCAGACTGAAGGGTCCTGGGTTCAAGTCCAGTCAAGGGCACATGCCTGCGTTGTGGGCTCAATCCCCAGTAGGGGGCATGCAGGAGGCAGCCGATCAATGATTCCCTCTCATCATTGGTGTTTCTATCTCTCCCCGTCTCCCTTCCAATATGAAATCAATAAAAATGTTTTTTTAAAAAAAAACAGGGGGAGTGCTGAGGGTGTCTTGGCGTCCTGCTGAGCCGCTGAAGAGGAGGGGACCGGATCCCGCTTTCTCCTCCCAAGCAGGTGAGCCCCCAAACTGCTGCACTCGGGCGCTCATGCACCCACTCACACGCTGAGCTCCTGCCTCTGGGCTGGGCCCCCAGGCCACGTATCTGAACAGGACCCAGCCCTGGTCAGCGGGGAGACGGACACACGTGGGTGTTGGACACACCCAGCGGCACGGGGCTGGCCTGAGGGGCCCGCCCCTCACCCACACAGCACCCAGCCCGGCCCCGGCGCCCCCCACTGGCCTGCTCGTGGTGCTCGATGCCCATGCTGACGGTGTTGACCAGGATGGCCATCATGATGCCCCGGTTGAAGTACTTGCTGTCCACGATGCCTCGCAGCCTGGCGCGCATCTCCCGCCACACGGCCCCGCAGAGCCAGCCGGCCCCCTCGGCCCGCTCCTCCTCGTCCTCCTTCCCCAGCCCCGAGGAGGCCCCGTCCCCGTCGGCCTCGTCCTCTCCCCCGCCGGAGCCCCCCAGGCCCCAGCCCTCCTGGCCCGAGTCGGTGCTGCCCAGGCCCGGGGGCCGGTGACCCGCGCTGTGCTGGCAGCGGGGGCCTCCGGAGGGGTCGGAGGCCAGCATGGCAGAGATGGGCTGCATCAGCATGGGGGGCGCCGGGCGCGGGGGGCTGTGTCCCGGGCACGGCTCTGAAAAGCAAACAGAAGGCAGGGTGGGCGCCTGCGGCCACACTCCACGCTCTCAGAGGAGGCAGCACTGAGCTCACCAGCCCCCCGCCCCCCTGACCCCGGACATAGCGACCCCTGCGAGTGAGCTGAGGCTCCTGTGCCCGCGGGGTCTGCCTGGAGCGGGCCAGCCCCGGAGCCAGGCGGCCTGTGGCTCCTGAGGAAACGGTTTCGCCTTCTGGGCTTTGCGGGTCAAAAGCTTAAGCCGGAGCACCCACCGCCTGGGGCTGCGGGTTCTCGGCCGGCTAGTTTGCGTGGTGTGCCTAGAACAGTGCCTGGGGCACAGGGACGTGTGTGCTGTCCTGGGCGTCACTCCCTGGCCTGCGGCCGTGCGCCGAGCAGGCCCTCCCGCCACCCTGGCTGCTGGCACTGTGGTGTGGGAAACGGCCGGGGCTTCTCAGGGAGGCAGCGGGGGGCCGGGGCCGGCAGGGGTGGCCCTCGGAGGAAGCGGGCGGCCTCGGCATTCCTCGGGCTTCCTGTCTGCACAGGGGAGGGAAGGAGGCAGGGGCCCCGGGCGGGGGGGCAGGCCTTCAGGCCCCAGGACCTCCCTCCACACAAGCCAGGAGCCAGGCTGCCTCCTCGGAAGGAGGGAAGGAGGCGGGACAGGCAGCCGGTCCCGGGTGAGGGTGGGAGCTGCCCGGGCAGGGGCGGGCCCTGGGTCGTGTGATGATCTGTAAAGCGTCTCTAAGAGGAGCCCGGGAGCCTCTCTGGGTGGTTTGATTTCTTCCTCATGTTTGTCTATATTTTCCTAAAACAAACACGCTTTGCTTGTTTATTTTAGAAAAACATACAACATACAGGGAAAGAAAAACATGGAATGCCTACTTTCACTCCTACACTTGCCTCAAATATCTCCCCAGGCCCCAGACAAGGGTCTGCCCGGAAGCCGGGCCAGGTGTCCGAAGCCCAGGGCTCGTCCCCCCTCAGCGGGCGGACAGGGCAGAGCCCTCCCCTCCCCCATCTCCCTCCCCACACGGACTCTGGCTGGGCCCCTGACACTGTGCCCGGGGAGGGACGGGCAGAGGCCCAGGGCAGAGCGCCTCTCCCCAGAGTCCCCGGGACTCCCCTCTGCACAGTCTCCTGGAGAGGGGCATGGGCAGTAGCAGGAGCCCCCTGGCAGCAAACACCCTGCCCCAGGTCACCCGAGAATGCTGGTGCCAGCCTCGCCCAGACCCCAGCTCCTCCTCATCCGAGTGCTGGGCCCGCCCACAGCCCCCTGGAGCCCCCAAGGCCACACCTGGACGTGTGGGGGCCAGGCTGGTGGCTCCGAGCATGAATTCCCCGCCCACCTCCTAAGAATCGATGTCCGGAACGAGAGACCCAGTGCACATGGTCTCACCCTCCCTTTTGGGGGATGGGGGGAGGGAGGGGAAGGATACCTAGGCCCACAGAGGGGCCAGGGTGTCCCAGTCACACACCTGCGCCTGCTCTGGGCACGGTCCTGACACCTGCTGACTCCCATCTTGGCACCAGCTGGGGCGGGCCTGGGCCTGGGCCTAGGCCTGGGCCTGGGGAGGGCCCCCCTGCTGTGGCACCTTTGCCTCCTGCCGGGGCCCATCTCTCCACGGAGCCAAAACTCTGACATCCCTGGCCCTGAGTTCTGGTCACTGACATCCTGTGTGACCTGAAGGAGCCCCCTTCACCCTCGCTGGGCACAATGCCGCTCGCTCTGCCTGTGATGGTCAGGCCAGCAAAGAAATGGGCCTGAGGCAGACCCCGGAGCGGCCGGTGGTCCCACCTGCAGGGCGGCCCGGCCCCTTTACCCCTGGCGGCCAGGCGTCACTGCTCACATGTGCTCGTAAGCACGGTGGCAGCGGGAACCCACACAGTGGGCAGGTTTTAGGGTTTCACAGACTCGGGACAGAAAGTCATTCCCGCCTCTCTAGTGTGGACCCCAGGGGCGGAGCCTGAGTCCACATGCGGACCAGACCGGGGAGGGACTTCCTCCAGGGCGGGGCTGCGTCCCCTGAGCCCAGGGCCAGCGCCGGCCGGGCACTGGCAGGCAGTCAGGAAAGGGGGAGAGGGAATGAGGGTGGGGCTGGATCCCCGGGGGGAAACCTGGGTTCTCCACCTGCTGGTCTGGCCGGCTCTGCTTGTGCTGGGCCGATAGGGTGTTATAGGAATAGTAATAAGGATCATTACAATATTGAATGAGTTTTAAAGTGTGGGACTGAAGTGCGATATCTGAAAGTGTGGAATGGAATGTAAACAAACTGATAAGCAGCCTTGAGTGGCCTGTGTGTAGGAAATAGATAAAGTGACCTGTACCCCGTATGGAAGACCGGATCGCAGGACTCCTGGGACCCGCCGATAAGACACACTGAAGACACATAAAAAGAGGGAACTCCACAGAAGAGATGTCCTTCTGCTCCTCCACAGAGGGCCACTCTCCGCACCCCCTGCCTGCACCAGCCAAAAGCTCTGCCTGAGCCCTGAGCCCTGGACGCTGAGCCCCGGGCCGTCGTGAGGGGCCTCACTAAGCCGAGCTGCAGCTGCAAAGTCCTGCGTGACCGTGTGTGTGTGTGTGTGTGTGTGTGTGTGTATGTGTCTGTCAGTGCGGATCCCCGGGGGGCCTGCCTAGGATTCTGGAACCCACCAGGACTCTGGTAAACAAACCGTGAGTGATTCGTGCCTTGCATGCTTGTCTCCTGTGTGATTTGTGCTCGGTGGATTATTAATTAAGTACCTAGGGTCGTACGTGTCAGATTTCTGGCTGAGGCACCCCAGGCCACCTGTGCATACGTCCCTCATGGAATTATTGGGACACAGGGAGACACGTCTGTGAACTGTGCCGTGTGGGGGCGCCCGAGGGAGGCCCCCGGGGCCCATGGGGGGCCACAGAGGCCGCGGGAGGCAGGCCACTTACTGAGGTGCCTGGGCTCCGTGGCGTGGGGCGCGGGCGGGGCGGCGGGGCCCCCCGGGCCCGGGGCCCGCCGGCGCTGCAGGCCCTGGTAGAGGCCCAGGGCGCGGCGCTTGGCCTTGCGCAGGATGTGGCACACGTACTGGAAGATCTCCTCGTAGCAGTCGCCCGGCTCGGCGTAGCTGGCCACCGTGCTGGAGGACAGGTAACGCTGCCGCTGCTCCAGCATCAGCCGGTGCTCCCGCTGCTTGGTCTCCGAGAACTGGGTCGCTATGACAACGAGGCACAGGTTGATCATGAAGAAGGAGCCCACCTGTGACCAACGGGAGGAGAGGACGGGGACAGAGGGGACAGAGGGTGGGGAGAGGCAGAAGTGAGGGCGGGGCAGAGATGGAGGCAGAGATGGAGGCAGAGATGGAGACAGAGATGGAGGCAGAGATGGAGACAGAGATGGAGGCAGACAGGGACCCAGAGGTGGAGGCGAGTGAGGAGGCAGGACAAGAGCAGACAGGGAGACAGGAAGAGGGGCAGATACGGGACAGAACCGGGAAAGGACAGGGTGGGGGACAGCAGGTGCACAGAGAGCAAGAACAAGGAGAGATATCGAGAGGGAGGGAGAGACAGAGGGGGGTCGGGAGAGGACGGGGACAGACGGCACAGGAGACGCAGACGCAGTGGCGGCAGCGGAGCAGGGACACGGAGGGGGGGTGGAGGGCCCGGAGAGACGGAGAGGCACAGCACAGGCGGGGACAGGAAAAGAGCGCTGAGGCCTGGCTCCAAGGGGACATCCGGGCCGCAGGCGGCCGTGGCCAGGCAGCTCCCCAGGCTCCACTGGGACCCCAGCTCTGGCCTCGCTGCCCGCCCACCGGGCACTCAGCACTGAGGCCCCGCCCAGGCCTCTGGGCCCTGAGGCCCACGGCAGCCCTGCCCTCTCTGACCTTGCCTTTGCCCCCCGCTGGGCACCCGGACAAGAGCAGAGAAGCATTCCTGGGGTTCCGCTGGTGTGGCTTTCTCTGGGCTTGGAGGGGGGCGGGGGGAGCTGCCCAGGTGGCACTAGGAATCCTTGCCGCCTCGAGTTCCTGCACGCTGAACCCATCACCGATTCACCCTTCCCGCCTCTCCCCTCCAGCGTGGCTGGGGAGCTGGGGTTCTGGGGCCGAGGACTCTGGGAAATTCCCACTCGTTCACATTTCCTGGGGACCTGCTTCGTGCCAGCCCGTGGGCGGAGTTCAGATCCTGCCCTCTGGAGCTCACACCTGCCCGCCTTCTACCCAGTACCCAGCCTGCCCCTGCAGCTGCTGCTCCGGGACCTCCCTCTCCCCATCTGTGAAATGGGAGGCTCAGCAAGACCAGCTCGGAACCTTTTAATTAGAAGGAGCCCCGGGACCTGGGTCTGAGGACCCCTCACGGGCACGGCGGGCACCTCGCCTCTCGGGGTGCCGGCTCCTCCCTGCGGAGCAGGCAGGCGGCACTGCATGGCCAGGGTTGAGGGAATAAGTGACCACAGACCCTCAGGCTCTGCCTGGCCTGGCACTGCTCCCCATCTCACTGTGAGCTCTGGAGTGAGGGGGCCTGCTCGGGGTCACTCTGGAATTCGGGGCTGCTCTAGCAATCCCAGTGGGTCACTGTCCTTCCCACCCCCCACCCCCCCGCCCCGCAGGAGGGTCTGCCTGCCTCAGGGCCTCTGAACGCCCCCGCCCAGAAAGCTGTCCCTCTGGTCGTCATCTCACCCCCCATGTCCCAAGCGTTTAGGCTCAATTCTGGTATCACCTCCTCCCCCACCCTCCCCTGAGCTGGCTGGAAGGCTCCTCCATCATGGCTCCCTAGATGCTGTCTGCTGTGCCCACCTTCCCCCTGGCACAGGGAGCTCCTCCGGGCAGGGCCTGTCTGACCCCCAGCTCAGCCCCCCGCCCTCCGCCCGGGGCCGCGGGCAGTGCAGGCGTCCCCCAGTGTGCCGGGGAGAGACCGAACCAACCAGGGCAGTGGTCGGCAAACTCATCAGTCCACAGAGCCAAACATCAACAACACAACGATTGGCATTTCTCTGGAGGGCCACATGTTTCAAACGTAAACTTCTTCTAACGCCACTTCAACATAGACTCGCCCAGGCCGTGGTATTTTGTGTAGGAGCCACACTCACGGGGCCAAAGAGCCGCGTGTGGCTCTCGAGACGCAGTTTGCCGACCAAGGAACCAGGGGATGAACCGCGGCTCTGGACAATGCCGGCTCCTGCCTCCTTCCCCCCTGGGGGCCCCTATGATCCAAGGCCCTGACCTCCCCAGGTAGGCACGGAGCACAGCCAGCAGCAGGTGTGTCTCGGGTCACCTGTCAGCTTGTCCTGAACCCCCAGGTCGAGGTCCCAGCAGCCCAGGATGGGGTGCTGCCCCAGAGGGTCAGTGTGCCCTCTCTCTCCCACCCCAGGAGGCCAGAGAACCCAGCTCCCAGCAGAGGGAGCCGGCAGCCACTCCCCCAGCAGTGAGTCACCTTGACATTTGGGGTTGTGTGGGGACGGTGGCGGTGGCTGTGGCTGCAGTCAGACACGACACGAAGGATGAGCTTCTTTGGGGAGACTGGGGGCGGGGAGGGGCAGGCAGGGCTGGCCTGGAAGAGGGGGGAGGCGATGGGGTGCCTCCTCCGTCTCCAGGTCCCCCCATAAAGCAGGGCTGCCTGCGGGGGGAGGGGGGGGGAGGGCCCTCCCGGAGTCTCGGGGAGCTCCCCCAGGTCGCGCAGGCTCGGTCTCCTCTCCGGAGCCTGCCTGGGAAGCAGCCGGGACCGGAGGGATAAGCTGGAGCCAGAGAGCTCCATCCTGGGCCTCAGCCGGCTCAGGCCGACGGAAAGCACGCGATCCCGGGGATGAGGAGGAGGCAGAGAGCAGGAGCGGGAGCAGGGGGTGGACCCGGGTGCCAGAGTGAGCGATGAAGACAATCGGAGGTGACGCCCCTGACAGCTCCCTTCCATCACCCGGGGCTGAGCTGCCATTAACAGAGTGCTCCCCCTCCCCCGCTCCCGCCCGCCCGGCCGGCCTTTCCGGCTCCGAGGAGCTCCCTGGGGACCCGCAAAGCCCCCGGCCTGGCCCCTGGTGTGCGGGTCCTCAGGCTTGCCCGGAGAGCCCCGGCCCCTCCGACACTTACTATGATGAGCAGGATGAAATAGATGAAGTTGTAGAAGGAGTGGGCATCCATCACGTAGTACATGATCTCCACCCAGCCCTCCAGAGTGATCACCTGCAGCCGGGACAGGGCGGAGGGGAGGGCGGGCCTGAGCCAGGCTGGTTCTCAGGAAGAGCGGGCAGCAGAGGCAGCGCCCCGGACAGAGGCCCTACTGTGCGCCCCGGACAGAGGCCCCACTGTGCGCCCCGGACAGAGGCCCCACTGTGTGCCAGGATGCCTGACACACATTACCTCTCCTACAGGCTACTGTCAGCTTGTCCTGAACCCCCAGGACACTTTGTGCTACCCTTCCTAGCCTGGACAGAGGCCCTACTGTGTGCCAGGACGCCTGACACACGTTATCTGTCCTACAGGGCCGCCATTGTCATCCTCATGAGACAGGTGAGAAGCTGAGGTTCAGAGAGGTTAGGGCACTCGCTCAAGATCACACGGCCAAGAAGTAGAACAGACAGTTGGTCCTATCCCTGTGGCTCCAGACCCCACCCCTTTCCGGTCTACCACACCCTGGAAGTCAGGGTCTCTAGTCTCTGGCTCCCGCTCTCTCTAAACCTCAGCTTCTTCTCCCCAGTGTGTGAGGCTGACAGAGCCCACCCAGCAGGCGGCCTGCCGCTCCGCAGAGCCTTGGGGTGTGGCAGGGATGAGGCTGGTGCAAGTCTGTCCCCACACACTCCGTCCGTCTGTCCGTCCGGGAGAGGGGCGCGAGACACACCCAGGGTCCTCCTCCCCAGCTCTGTTGGCAAATGCCCCTGGGCAGCCCGCACGCCCTCTGCAGCTGGAGGGGCCCAGCGCCTGGCTGGGGTCCCATCACCCCTGGAAGCTCTGAGTTCTGAGGTCCTGCCACTCCCCAGAGCAAAGTGAGCAGAGCAGCCCCTCCCCCCAGGAAGACCCACCCCCTCCTCCGGGGCTTCATGACACCGCTCCTGCGCCTGCCCCTTCTTCCCTCTGAGGACAGCGGGAAGGTGACCTTGCCAAAACCGGTTTGGCTCAGTGGATAGAGGGTCAGCCTGGGACTGAAAGGTCCCAGGTTCGATTCCAGTCAAGGGCATGTACCTTGGTTGGGGGCACATCCCCAGTAGAGGGTGTGCAAGAGGCAGCTGATCAATGTTTCTCTCTCATCGATGTTTCTAACTCTATCCCTCTCTCTTCCCCTCTGTAAAAAATCAATAAAATATATTGGGGGGAAGGGGGGAAGAAGGTGGCTTACTGAGCACTCCCCACATGTGGGGCTGACCACTCTGCTCACATCCCCCTGGCCCATCTTTCTCAGCCACTCTAGGTGGAGGAGTTGTTACCCACTTTAGAGATGTGAATACTGAGGCAGAGACATCAAGCCATTGACCCAAGGTCCTACCGCCCTTTCTTTGAACCTCCGTTGCTCTGTCTGTAATGTGGGCAGGACAGAGCCTATTGTGCCAGCAAGCCGGGAGGATTTCAATGAAACGAGTGGCAAATGCCTAGTACAGAGACCTCGCTGCCAGGTGAAGCCGCTCAATCCACCCCATCTCCAGCCCCCAGCCCATCCCCACCCACCCAGCCCCACCCAGCCCCCACCCAGCCCCACCCCACCCAGGCCCACCCCACACAGCCCCCAGGCCCCAGCCCCCAGGCCCCAGCTCCCAGCCCCAGCCCCTAGCCCCCAGCCCCTAGGCACCAGCCCCCGGCCCCGGCCCCTGGCCCCCGGCCACCAGCCCCAGCCCCCAGCCCCCGGCCCCCGGCCCCCGGGCCCCAGCCCACAGCCCCCAGCCCCAGCCCCCGGGCCCCCGGGCCCAGGGCCCCGGGCCCCAGCCCCCAGCCCCGGCCCCGGCCCCCGGCCCCCGGGCCCCAGCCCCCAGCCCCAGCCCCAGCCCCCGGTCCCCGGCCCCCGGCCCCCGGCCCCCGGCCCCGGCCCCCGGCCCCCGGCCCCCGGCCCCCGGCCCCCAGCCCCCGCCCCCGGCCCCCAGCCCCAGCCCCAGCCCCCGGCCCCAGCCCCAGCCCCAGCCCCAGCCCCCAGCCCCCAGCCCCACCCCCAGCCCTCAGCCCCCAGCCCCCAGCCCCCAGCCCCACCCCCAGCCCCAGCCCCCAGCCCCCCGCCCCCACCCCCACCCCCAGCCCCCAGCCCCCGGCCCCAGCCCCAGCCCCACCCCCAGCCCCCAGCCCCCGGCCCCAGCCCCAGCCCCAGCCCCAGCCCCAGCCCCAGCCCCCAGCCCCAGCCCAGCCCCAGCCCCAGCCCCAGCCCCCAGCCCCAGCCCCAGCCCCAGCCCCGGCACCGGGCCGGCTCTCGCCTGGAAGATGACGATCCAGGCGTAGCCGATGTTGTCGAAGTTGATGGCGCCCTTGTGGGGGTTGGCGCTGCCCGTGCGGCACACGTTGTAGTAGCGGTTCCAGTTGACGCAGAGCCCGCTGGCGTTGAGGTCCGGGCGCGCGGCCCCGGGGTCGTAGACGTCGTCCTTGGACAGGCAGCACTCGCGGCCCCGCTCCCGCAGCGGCGGGATCTCGTGGCAGCCCACAATGCCGTTGTCCCCCGAGAGCGAGCAGATGAAGGGCATCTCGTCGTCCTCCTCCGGCTGGTAGTAGGGGGGCAGGGCCACGTCCCCTTGTCTGTCCACGGGCAATGGTGGGCCAGGGAGGAGGAGGGGAGGGGTCACGGCCATGTCCTCAGGCCTTCCACATGCTGGTCCGTCCGCCTGGGAAACCTCCCCACCTCTGCCGCGGCCACAAAGCACACACACACACACACACACACACACACACCCACCCCTTCGCAACCGCTGTGGTCAGTTCCAGGCACCCACCCCGAGGGAGCCTTCCCAGGATCAAGCAGGACTGGTCCTGGACCCCCTGTGGCCAGACTGTACCCTGCACACGCCTCCACCATTGCTCCTGGGCACATACCCTCAACTCCCCTGGGAGCCAAGACTGGGTCTCAGGACCCCTAGGCCCCACGCACGGTTTGCTCAGCACAGAGCAGGTGCTCCGTAAACAGATGCTGAGGTGTACTGACCCACCCACCCTCCCAGGGTATGGGCCTTGGCCTGGTCCCTTCCCCTCCCCGGATTCCCAGGTCCTTCTCTGTGAAACAGAGATAACCTGGGGACCGGAAGGACAGAACAATAAACGGCGTCAGGACAGTTGCTATCCATTAGGAAAATCATAAAGATAGATCCCTACCTCACACCATAGACACAATAAAGCAAACGGGAGAAATCCCGCCCTGGCTGGCGTGGCTCCGTTGGTAGGAGTGTCATCCCGTATACACCGCAGGTACATGGGTTCCATTCCCAGTCAGAGCACACACCCCAGCAGTCGTGGGTTCAATCCCAGGTCGGGGCAAATGCGGGAGGCAACCGATTAATGTTTCTCTCGCCCTTTGGCGTTTCTCTCTCTCTCCCTCTCCCTTCCTCTCTCTCTCTCAAATAGGTCTGGAAATTTCTTTTTCAAACAAAAGAAAATCCTACTGTTCATGTGCAAGATTTTTCATGTTGTCACAAATCTGCAAAGAATTTCCAATGTATTTCTCAAAAACCACCTGTGTGTAAGCAGTTCACACCCGTGTGGTTCAAGGGTCGACTACCATTTGCTGCTTCCACTCTGTTCTCCCTGATGCCCAATGACCAGGGGAAAACTGTGAAGTAAGCGTCACCAGGAGCTGAACGAGTCTCTCGGGGCCTAGTGTAGGCGGGGACTCGGAGCTCAGAGGCCTTCGCTGCTCACGTTAGCATCCAGCCCTTCCGAGGCAGCCCACCGCCGACTCACCGCTGCCTCTCTGCACCCCGGGAGTGAGGATGGGGAGCAGGCGCTCCGTGGGGGGACCTCCCTGGCCCTAAAACGCTCAGCCCCGCGGCGGGGGCCCCGGGGAAGCCGCACTCACACGGTGAAGTTCTCCTCCAGGAAGCAGCGGTTGCGCAGCAGGCCGGCCCACAGCTGCACGCCGATGATGCCGAAGATGAAGAAGACGAAGAAGCAGAGCAGCAGCACGTTCCCCAGCATGGGCAGCGTGTCCAGCAGCAGGTTCACCAGGATGCGCATGCCTGCAGGGCAGGAGGGGCGGTCAGACGGGGAGAGGGCAGCTCGGGACGCACTCCTGGAGGGCGGACACGCGCTGGCCCTCCACCAGGCTGGAGCTCGGGGCACAGGCACGGAGCGTGACCATCGGAGCACCCAGGTCGTGTGGGGAGGGGGGGGGTCTCAGGAGCGGGGGGCTCTGTGCCCGGTGACCGGTGGGGGAGGCCAGTCGGCAGATCTCGGAGCCCCGGATGGGCTCCAGGGTTAGACAAGAGGAGGCAATCCCAGAGGCCAGGAAGAGGCGGGAGGCGAGCGCAGAGGGCCGGGCAGCGGCTGCCAGGCGGGGCCGGATCAGAAACGCCTCTGGAAAGCAGCTCAGGACAATCCCTGCCCGGCGGCTCCCCCGGGCCCGGCCTTTTTGCTCAATTAATTACATTTGCCTCGTCCTCCAGGATATTAACATTCCGAACAGCTCCTGAAAACCTGGCCGGCTGCCTTCCCCGAACGGCATCCGGATCCCTCCTCCCCTCCCCACCTCCCTCGACGGTGCTGGGCCCCAGCTCACTGTCCTCCCGGGGGCCCGGGGAGTCCCAGGGCCGCGCAGCCAAGGCATAATTAGCTAATTAGGGACCCAGAACAAATCCATCATTTCCGTGTGAGGGACAGCGAGGAGGACCCGAGAGACCCCGGCTAATCCTCCTCTTCTGCCCACAGCCAAGGAATTAGCCAAGGCGCTGGGCACAGGAGAAGGAGGCAGAGAGAGGAGAAACACAAAGACAGAGAAAAATGAAGTGGAACAGAGACAGAGAAGCATGGAGACAGAACAGAGATAGAGAAAAAGAGACACAGGGCCAGAAACACAGAGGCTGCCTTCAAGACCTGCCACCATCTGCTCCAGACCACTCATGTCCCTCCACATCTTCCCCAGCCATGTTCTCCTCCTCCAGGCAGTCTTCCATGATTCCCTCCCCCAGTTAGCCATGATGCCCTCCTGGAGCTTATTGTTTCTGCTCTCCTAGTGACTTTCCTGGCCTTTAGCCTAGCATAGGAGCCGGGGGTGGGGGCGGGGGGTCCAGATTGGGGAGGAAGAGGAGAGGACAGTCTGCAGGCAACCCCATGAGTGTGGCTGAGGGCTCTGCTCCCTCTAGCCAAGAAGGGAGACAGTATGGAGTGTCATGTGAGTGGCACCAGGGTAAAGACCGTCTCTGGATGACATTTATTTTACTTTTAAATATTTTTTATTGATTTCAGAGAGGAAGGGAGAGGGAGAAAGGAATAGAAGCATCAGTGATGAGAGGGAATCATTGATCAGCTGCCTCCTGCCCACCCCCACACTGGGGATCGAGCCTGCATCCTGGGCATGTGCCCTGGTCGGGAATTGAACCGTGGCCTCCTCGTTCATAGGTTGACACTCAACCGCTGAGCCACGCCAGCCGGGCTGGATGGCATTTGAAGTCAGGAGCTAGGAGGATCCGGATGACAGATGGGCAGACTGCCTGAGCCGCTCAACCCCTTCACCCTTCCCACCCGGGACCCCGAGCCAGGCCCCTCTGTTCTAAGGGCAGCTGGGCAGCAGCCAGGCAGGGGGACCCTCTGGGGCAGATGGGGACCTGGGAGGAGATGGGGGGTGTGCTTCCTGCTGGCACGGCCCCTGGAGGTCCCGGTGCTCCCCGCAGGTCGGCACGGCCCCCCTGCCAGGCCCACTCATGCCGGAGCAGCTGGACTCGCAGCAGCCTTTCCGGCGGCACCGCCCGCAGCCAAGAGGGGGGCAGTCAGGCCGAGGGCAAGGCAGCCAAGCTTTCAGCCTGACCTCGGGGCTCCCCTCCCGCTCTGCAGCCAGCGTGGAAGGTGCTGAGTGACTAGAGAAGGCCGAATGTTGCTCCTGCCGCTGCCAGCGCCAACCAGTGGTGGGTGCCCAGGAGGTCAGGTCAGGCGGCATACAGCCCAGCCTGAGCTGCTGGCCCGGCCCAGTGGGGGCAACGATGAGCTGATGGGGGGGCCTCAGAGCCCACACCCCAGGCAGGACGTGTGCACCTTGCACCCTCCCCCCAGGAGAGGCCTTGGGCTCCTTCCCGAGTGATCACGCTCAGGCCCTGGGGTGTGGGTCTGGCCCCATCCCACTGAGGTCCTCACAGTCACTGCGGCACAAACATCTATTGGTTCTTCAAACGCCCTACCCCCATGGTCAGCAAACCGCAGCTCGCAAGCCACATGCGGCTCTTTGGCCCCTTGAGTGTGGCTCTTCCACAAAATACCACGGCCTGGGCGAGTCTGTTTCGAAGAAGTGGCGTTAGAAGAAGTTTAAGTTTAAAAAATTCGGCTCTCCAAAGAAATTTCAATCGTTGTGCTGTTTGGCTCTGTTGACTAATGAGTTTGCCGACCACTGCCCTACCCCACCCCAAGTACCTGTGGCCCTCCGCCTGCACCCCCGCTGCCTCCCTTAGAACACGTGTCCCGCTGGCCCCCAGCTCCTGCTCACACGTCTGCCCGCGGAGAAGGGCGGGGGCCGACATGCTAAAAGGAGAGAAAGGGGGTCATGAAGAGGAGCAGCACACTCCGGGTTATACAAGCACGGGCTCCAGGCCTGGTGCTGCTCCTGGCCAGCTGTGGGGCCTCAGTTTCCCCATCTGTAAAATGGGCCAATGTCCCAGGGCTGTCATGACGATGAAATAAGCTCACTTACATGAAGCCCCACAGCCGTTTCTTGTAAGCACCCGATACATTTCATTTTATTATATTTTTAAAATATATTTTATTGATTTTTTTTTTTTTTTTTTACAGAGAGGAAGGAAGAGGGATAGAGAGCTAGAAACGTCGATGAGAGAGAAACATCGACCAGCTGCCTTCTGCACAGTCCCTACAGGGGATGTGCCTGCAACCAATGTACATGCCCTTGACCGGAATCGAACCTGGGACCACTGAGCCAAACCGGTTTCGGCAGACCCGATACATGTTAGCCACGTGTCGTTAGCAGTACTTTTCCGGAAGATGCAGGAAGTCACTCCCGCTCTGCCCGCCTGCAGTCCCTCTGCCAGGGCCACGCAGCCCGCCAGCCGGCTCCTCCTCTGCCTGAGTTGTGGGGTGTCTGCCAGGAGCAGCTTCTACCCGCTGTGCCTGGGGAGCGTCCCCCAGAACCCGGTTCCACAGAGACGCCCCGAGTCCGTCCGCCGCCTCCCCCTCAATGCTCCCAGCTCTTCCTAACAACGGCCCTGGTGAACACTCACTGCAAGGCTCCCACTGCATGCAACTCCCCACTAGCTCTGTGCACACCTGTGGCCTCCCACCATTCCAAACCCACGTGGAGACTGGTGTCACCAACCCCATTGTATCATGGGAGACACGAGGGAGGCCCAGAGAGGAGCGTGGCTTGCCTGCAGCCAGTGGAGGGTCTGTCAGTGCCGAGCACACCTCCAGCTTCTGGGCCTGCAGCTGGGGCCAGACAGCAGCCTTCCCCCCACCCCTTTACTCCGGCTTGTCAGCTCCGCCGCCCTGCCCCAGGGCCTGCCCTGGGACTCACTCTCCACCCCTGCACCGCCCCAGGCTCATCCCCGAGGCCTCTGCATGGAGGTGAGTTGTTGCTGATCCAGGGATTGTGGCCGGATGGGAACCCTGGGGGGCAGTAATCCAGGCCAGGCTCAGCATCCCCCCAGCTGCCCCTGAGCTCCCCAGACCTCTGTACCCCGCAGCCTGGGCCGGGTGTGCTGGGCCAGGTGCACATGCGGGCCAGCAGCCCAGACTCAGCTGGCTCAGGCCTTCGTAGTGACTGCCCTACTTTCTCACGGGAGGAAAAAAAAGCCTTTCATTGTTAAATGGCGTGGCCGGGGGCTTTGGGAGGCACTGCACGGGCTTACGGGGTGTGTGGGCCAGGCAAGGCAGGAGTCACCGGTGCCAGAGGGGGCACTTTTATATATATATATAATTTCAGAGAGGAAGGGAGAGGGAAAGATAGAAACATCAATGATGAGAGAGAATCATTGATCGGCTGCCTTCTGCACACCCCACACTGGGCATGTGCCCAGATCGGGAATCAAACCGTGGCCTCCTGGTTCAGAGGTCGATGCTCAACCACTGGGCCACACCGGCCGGACAAAGGGGGCACTTTTAGAGACAATCCAGCCCCATCGTGCCAAGGCCCAGAGAGGGCGAGTGACTTATGAAAGGTCACACAGCAAGGAAACCAGAACCCAGCCTCTTGGCTCAGAGACTCGTGCTTCCTTCTCTCCTCCCGTCTCCTTTCCTTTGCCCACCCATGGGTGCGTGGCCGGGACAGAGGCCTCCAGGGTGGGTGGGAGGAACACACTTTGCAGGGTTCCATAAAGAGCACCGGGACTTCCAGCTCCCCGACCCCTCCTAGACAACGTTTAAAACCATGCACCGAGTCGAATCCTTCCCCCTGCTCTGTGCAAGGGGGGGAAACTGAGGCCCAGGGACGCTCGGGGGCTTCCCGGGCCACACAGCACGCTCCCGGCAGAGCTGAAAGCCACACCTTGCGTTCTTGACAGCCTTCCCGGTGGGTCTTGTTCTTCAGCCACTTTGCAAACGGCAGGCAGCCGCCCCTGCTCTCCGCAGCTCTGTAACTAATAACCTATCATTTGACTTTGCCTTTTCCCTGCTCTCCGGCCTGCCACCTAGTGGCGGACGTGAACGCTATGGGCTGTTGCTGGGAAGATGAGTCCCGAGGTGAATCAGGCCTCTCAGGAAGCACTGAGGGAGCCTGTGTCCCCGCCACACGTCCTCCGGTGACTGGCAGCGGGCACACAGCTGCCCTCCTGCACACGGGAGCTGGATCCTGGACCTGCTCCAGCCGCCTGAGGCTCCTGTCAGTTAAGTTCCTCAAGAATATGGCTTGACCTCAAGTCCCCTTTCCAGGGAGCCGCTGGGTCAGGGGAAGGAGTGCACTGGTTATACTGTGGGTCCCAGAGTGTCTGGGCTCCCAGCACGCCCCACACCAGTTCATTTGTGAATCGGCTGCAGCGGAGCCAGCTCAGGGCGGACACAGGCTCTCCCATCTCTCCGCCTGAGCCTCCAGGGCCCTGCTAGCAGGAGGGAGGCCCCTGAGGAAGGAGCGAGCCCTCTGCAGGCCTGGCCCCTGCAGCCTCCAGCACAGGAGCCTCCGGGGAGGTGCCCACCCTCCCTGCCCTTCTCGAGGGAACCAAGAAGGCGGGAGGGACTGGAAGGTGACCTCCCGCCTAAGCCAGTTTGGTCAGTGGATAGAGCGTCGGTCAGCCTGCAGACAGACGGGTCCCAGGTTTGATTCTGGCCAAGGGCACATGACCAGATGGTGGGCTTCATCCTCAGTAGGGGGCATGCAGGAGGCAGCTGATCAATGATTCTCTCTCATCATTGATGTTTCTATCTCTCTCTCCCGCTCCCTTCCTCTCTGAAATCAATAAAAATATATATATTTTTAAAAACGTGACCTCCACAGCCAGGAGCCATCTAATGAGCGCCCACACAGTGGGAGAGAGAGGGAGAGGAACACACGTGCCCATGTGCCCCATGTGTGCTCATGTACGTGTGCACACACCCCTATGAGCACATCCCTCACTTGTGCACACTCACATTTGCATACTCCACACACATGCACACACCTTTATCTCTACATACCCCTCACGTGTGCAAATATGCCTTTACATGTATTGCACACCCACGTGTGCACACTCCTCACGTGTGCGTGCACGCCCACATGTGTGCATAGCCTCACATCTATACACGCACCCACATGCGCAAACACACTCTCACACGTGCACACACCCCTCGCGTGTACACACACATGTGCACACCCTTCACAGGTGGGTGGGTGATAAAGCTTAAGTTCAAAGTCACTTAGCACACGTGCGGGAGCCTGGGTTCCTCTCCGTGGTGAGAAGCTGCAGAAGGCCCTCCCTCATACCACCAGCTCCTTCCACACGTGGCCCCCGTGGCCGCCCGCTCCCCGAGGAACCTGCTCCTGAAGCTAGGCTCCCCCACGGTCCACGTGGTCTTGGCTCAGGATCGAGGCCACCCCCCAGCGTCTTCAGGCCCAATCCTGGCCCCTGGGCCCCGCGGGAGCAGGACCGACCTCTGTCCGGCCCCGGAGGGGCCCGGCCCAGCACACGCCCAGCACACGCCTGGCACTGGAAGGGTGGCTGGGGCTCCGTGGGCCGGGCGGGGGAGGGCGCAGACTCACTGGGCACGCGGTTGATGGCTTTGAGGGGCCTCAGGACGCGCACGGTGCGGATGGCCGACAGGTTGATGTTCTGCAGGTCCAGCGAGTACTCCACCATCCTGCGGAGAGAGGGGAGGGTGAGGGCGGCGCAGGAGGCCAGGCAGGGCCACGGGCCAGACCACAGAGGCGCCTGGCCACCCCCGCCTGCCCACGTGTGCCCCCGCCTGCCCGGGAGGGTGTGCCCAGTCCAGTGGGTGGCCCCAAGCTGTCCCTCCTCTGAGAGGGGGCTGGGGCCAGTGACACCACCCTCCAGGCTGCCCTGGGATCAGGAGCTGTCGTTTGGGACAGAGGGATGGAAGGGCCGAGACCTGAGTCCCCGCTGGGGGCCGGTCAGTACACCCTCAGAGGGAGGACCGAGGCGCAGCGGCCCGGGGCTGGCCCGATGGCAGCTGGACGTCAGTCCTCATCTCCGTGCAGCGGCTCCGGCGTCCACGCTGAGCCCGGCCTGTGCAGGGGGCCGTGCCCCCAGAATGGCTCAGGCCCGGCCCTGCCCTCAGCAGCTCCCACTCGGCAGGGGAGGGACTCGAACCGGAGCCCTCCCTCGGCCCTGGTGTTCCTCCTCTGGGCCTCACCACACAGGCCGGCCGCCCGCAGCTCCGTGGCCGCAGACCTCGGCCCCTCTGTGGTTCCCTGCCTCCCACCAGCTCCTACCTGCCCCCCCCCCCCCCCCCCCGTGCTGCACCCCAGCCTGACCCGGAGGCCCCATGCACCAAAGCCTCCCCCGCCCCCGGGCTCTGGCACGGCTGCCGCTGCACCTGTCAGCACCGTCATCAGCAGGAAATGAAGGCTTTTCCACGCACCACGCAAACCTGTCCGCCTGTTGTACAGCCGCCTCCCCTCCCTCCCGCTGCTGGAGGAGTAACTGAGTGAAAGCTTCCTTTGCCTGGAATGCCTCATCCATCCCCGGCTTTCTAGGGCACAGGCTCCGGCTCGGCACGCGCTCGCTCGCTCTCTCGCTCGCTCTCTCTCTCTCCCCCCGCCTCGCTCCCTCCCTGCCTCCCTCCTTCTGTCTCCCCCATATGCACACACACACAATCACACACCTGCACACACCCGCTCGTGCACACACACCCTCACCCCTCACACACCCTCATTCGCACACATGCCTTCCAGAGCCCCAGTTCAGGGGGCGCGACCGCAACAAGGTGACAGCGGCCTGGAACTGGAGACAGGGACCTGAGGGAGCAGAGGAGAAGGGAGGCAGAGAGGGAGGGGTGCCAAGGGCAGCAGCCCTGCAAGAGGGGGAGGGGGAGGAGGAGGGGGAGGAGGAGGGGGAGGAGGAGAGGGAAAAGGAGGGGGAGGAGGAGAGGGAAAAGGAGGGGGAGGAGGAGGGGGAGGAGGAGGGGGAGGGGAGAGGGAGAGGGGAGGAAGGGGAGGAGGGAGGGGAGGGGGAGGGGGAGGGGAGAGGGAGGGGGAGGGGGAGGGGGAGGAGGAGGGAGAGGGGGAGGGGGAGGGGGAGGGAGAGGGGGAGGGAGAGGAGGAGGGGGAGGGACGGGGAGGGGCCCGGAACGAGGGCAGAGGATGAGCGGAGAGGGGGCCTGAGCGCGGAGCTGTGTGAGGATTCCGCGCGTGGGTGAGCCAAACTGTCGTCCTCACATTTTGAGGAGAGAGCTCTCCAGGCAGCCGGGGAGATGTGTGACGGAGGCGCTGCGGGGGTGGCACACACAGGCACACACACAGGCGCGCGCACACACACACACACACACACACACACATGCGCACACACACGCGCACAGGCTTAGGAGAGCCACCCCATCACCCATCGCAGGCTCAGCTCCTGCCAGCCCCTCCCCCTCCCCCCCAGGAATGCAGCTCTGCCTCCCTCCCAGGCTCTCCCCTGCTGCCCAGGGGGCAGTGCCAGGCCCTGGGAGTGGGGGAGGGGCCAGGTCGTGGGGGCCTCGCTGGGTGTGCAGAAGGTGGGGGTCCCCAGCCCCTGCCAGGTGGAAGCCACCTGGCTCTGTGTTCCAGGAGCCCGGAGCCCACCTGTGAGGTCCAGCGGGTGCCAGACCAGGATGGGTGCCATCCCGGGAAGTCTCACGGGGGAGTAGATAGCTGCCTCGCCGCGGACAGGGAGCAGGAAAAGCAAACGGCTCTGGAAGGCTGCTGCCTGCCAAGCCCCGCTCACATCCCGCCCCGCGGGCACCTGTGTGTGCTCACACCTCCTGGGTCCACTTCCACCCTCTGCTGCTCCCTGGACCCGGCGGGCCAGGGCCACAGCCACCGGGACCGGCTGAGGAGCCCTCGGGACAACGCTGCCCGGTCTGACTCCCCGTCCCTCCTCACAGAGCCCGGGCCCATGGCCACTCAAGAAGGACCCTCCCTCACCCCCACCTGACACCCCAGATTGTCCAGGTGGGAGCACACCTTCTGCAAAAGCCCCAGACCTCAGCAGGGTCCCCACAGAAAAGCTCCCAAGAGAAATTTCTTGTAGAATTTAGTGTCAAGATCTTAGCTCTGTTTGAGCTTCCTGGCTGTCAAGTCAAAAAGGGACATGTGGCCCTGACCGGTGTGGCTCAGTGGATAGAGCATCGGTCTGCGGACTCAAGGGCTACAGGTTCGATTCCGGTCAAGGGCATGTACCTTGGTTGCAGGCACATCCCCAGTAGGGGGTGTGCAAGAGGCAGCTGATTGATGTTTCTCTCTCATCCATGTTTCTAACTCTCCCTCTCCCTTCCTCTCTCTAAAATTCAATTATATATATATACATATATATATATATATATATATATTTTTTTTTTTAAGGTACATGTGATGAGTTACTGAGTTCTGAGCAGCACGAGAGATCTTATGGATTCATCCAGGGACTGACTCTATTAGCCTAAACATGTCTCCCAGGTCCTAATGCTCTCCTTTTGTGTGCTGCCGCTGCCTCCCCTGCCTGGGGAGATGAGACTAGGTGCACACGACTTCAGTGATAGAGGGCACATAGTAGGTGCACAATGGAAAGTCTCCTTCTCCGAGAGGAAGAGGACGGGGGGGAGTGGGGGGAAACGTGCAGCTGGGCGGTGAGGCTGTGGGTGTTACTCTCTGCCCGGGGAAGCACACTGTCCTGATGAGACTCCGCTCACCAACATGGCACAGGGTGCCCCCAGCTCCACCGCCCTGCCCGAGCTGGCAGCCCCCCTTTCCCGGCAGCCGCAGCGCCTCCCGGCTGCCTCCACCTCCTGCCTCCTCTCCACAGCCCGCCTTCCTTCCCCAGGAGAAACCCCCTAAAACTGAAACCCGGACGTGCCACTCCCCAAGTCAAACCTCCAACGTCTCCCCACTGCTCTCGGGCCAAAGACCCAGCCCGGCCTCCGCCTTCAAGGCCCTCTAGTCTGCTAGTCCCCTTCCCCAGGCCCGCTCCGGCCCCAGGCACCCAGGTGCCCTGCCAGGCCCGGGAGCTCCCAGACACACCCTCCCTCCCCAGTCCTCTGCACAGGGCCCTTTCTCCTCCCTCATCCGTCCTTTCAGGCCTCCTCCTCCTGTGTACGCCCTCCCTGCACCCAGGCTGAACCCGCCCCTCTCTGCTCCGGCTCCTTCCCACCCTGGCCAGTCTGGTCCCCAAGCAGACCGAGTCAAGGACTGGAGGGCAGCGGTTACCCGGGAGGGGAGCCAGGAAGCACAGTGAGGGAGGGGGAGGAGGGAAGCCAGATGGGAGCTGTTCACCAGCAGAGGACCGCTGAGGGCAGTGAGGGTGCCATCCCAGTGACACCCCTCCCCTCCGCGCCCCCCCCCTCCAGAGACCACGTGGTCTCGGGGCGGGGGGGTGGGGGGGGGCAGGGGCTGCAGGGTTATCCGAAAACTGGCTGAGTCCTGGCCGCGCCCTCTGTGCTCCTCAGACACAGCACCCACACCAGCCCCGCTGAGGACCGAGGAGCATGAGTCCCACCTGTGACAGGTGCTCTCCCACCCTCCCCTACCGCCGGCCTCCTCCCCCCACCCCGAGTGACAGCTGTGGGGGTGCCCAGCCCCAAAAGCAGCAGCGACAGCGAAGGGGCCGCGGTGGGTGCAGAAGCACCAGCACCGGGCCGGCTGCCCTCAGGCCCCAAGTTAAGACATCTCTTGCAGGAGAGAGAAATTAGTTCCTAATTGCACGGTTACATTATCACACAGCTTCGTGCTAAAAGTCTAAAAAAACAACAAACCCCCCTCCGCCAGTGCCGGCTCCCAGCGCCTAATTAGGTGAGTAATTTTGCTGTAAAGTGAGTCCTTCTGTCCTGACATCGCCCTGGGGGCGGGGGGGGGTGGCTCCAGGTGTCATCCGGGCAGAGGGACTCTGTGCAGCCAGGCTGGTGGGGCTGCAGGCGGACAGTGACTCCTGGGGCACAGTGAGCCCCACTTAGTCCCGCCCAGGAGCCTCCTTCTCCGACTCCCCGTCCCCCTGGGTCCCAGGAGAGGCCCAGAGACCCCGGCAGGCAAGCCAACCCGGACGCCATCCTCGGCCAGCAGGACTGACGTGGGATGGGCATGGGACCCCAGGCAGACCCAGCCCTGGAGCCAGCACCGAAGGGAGAGGTGCCCTCCCCTGCTAAGCCACCGCCCGGACGCCCAGGGGCGCTGATGGCCATCTTGCCTCTGCGGTGGCCGGAGGATCTGGCCAACACAAAGGAAGGCCAGGGCCAGCGCGGCCGAGCGGCCGGATGCTGGCCATATGGTCCGGCCACTCCCCACAGCTGTACCCGAACCCTGGCTCCGCCCTCGGTACTGCCCGTCTGTCCTGTGTGCCAGTCATTCCCCGGGGCCGTGGGGCCGTGTGCCCAGGCTTTCTGTCGCAGCGATCGGAGTCCTGGCTGGTTCCCAGGCCTCTGAACTCGCTCTGCGCCCGCTCCCCGTGGTGGGACCAGGAGCCCCTGTGATGAGGACGCCGAGGCTCGGAGAGCACCCAGGTCACACGCCAGGGAGTGGGGGCCCAGGGACTCGGTGTGACACCCCCCAGCACACACCTCCTCAGCCATCAGGCCAGGCCGCCTCTGGCTCCTGAGCACCCCTTCCCCCCAGATGGCCGGTAAGCACAGCACAGATGGCAGCACACGGGATGGGGCCAGCACGGGGCAGTGTGTCCCAGTGGTTAGAGCCT